CGCTACGTCGGCGATATAAACGCAAGGAGTACCCGTGTGTCTCGACGCGTTCTTGTACGAGTTCGCCGAAATCCTAGCAGAATCTCGCTTTTTGTTTCGTTGAGTCGAAAGTGTCGAAATGAAGATTGTAGGGCAGGTGGTGGAAGAGGTGAGTTGTTTGTTGATTCTTACTTTGGTAACTCAATCAATTTTTGTTTGAAAAACTGATTAAAGTTTTTTTTCTTCTTACTTGTACCCATTATTTATGCTCTAATGATCTGTTGTCTCACTAATTCGAATATGATGGATTGTTTGGATAGATGTGGAAAGAGTGAATTTGGTATGTTCGTAAATGCGCATCATCTCTCGCAGATAGGCGCGTTGCGTGCGATCGAAATAGTTCATGTTCTGGAGAGACAGCAGACGACAGGTAGATAAAAATGCACAGACGCCGACGTGTCCGCAATGGCATGTTGTCTGTGCGTATTACGACTCCCCTTTAGAGATTTTAGAAATCTCCATGAAGTTGCTGATTTTTCCAGGCAAAAAAGATTTTCTGCAAATCGCGCGTACACATTTCGCCAGGTCTTTTGATGTCGTTAAATGTCAGTCAATCTTCATACGGAAGAAATTTTGCGTTTCTCGAAAGTATGAACGAGTGTAATTTTTTTAAAGTAATCAGTTTTAGAAATTGTTTATTTTTATGATTTTTTATTTCGCTCTAAATAAGGCGTAAGGTAATATAGTAATTTTATTCCACACTTACGTGAATCACATATGAACAGATTTTGTCTATTTTGGACAGCTCCACCCCTTAGGTTGAGTGGCAGAGGGCGGGGTTGTCCATCGCGACTTTGGGATCCCTTTGGATATATTGTTGCCTTTTTTTTAGCATTTTTAATGTTCAATCTTCCTCAGGATACTATCGCATTCCTAAATCCTTGATTCAACATCATTTTCTTTACTCTTTCTCAATACATCAAAGACTAATCATCTATGATAATATGGTCGTTAGCAGGGCTCAGCACAGCTGGCACCGGGTCAAGCTGGATATCGTTTTTAGCGCGCAAAGCAAAGGGGATATCGTTTCTACAGGGCCGAGACGAGGAACTGCCGCAAAAATGCCGCCGGCACGCCACCGGCATGCCATTGGCAAGCTGTCCATCAACAAACAAAGGCCTTGTTTTCAGCCAAAACGCAATAGTATGACACCAAATTTGGTGTGTGCATGCGCGTTGGTGGACCGGAACTACGGGACAAAAATTTATGAAAACTTATGTGAATGAAAGCTGTGCCCAACTTTTTTCTGAATTGGCTGGCACCGTGCCAGCTGGGTGCCAGCTGAGCTGGCACCGACACTTTGCTCACATAAGTTTTCATACATTTTTCCATAAAATGTATCTACACCGTAAAAGATTACATACGGAGAAGAAACGGTTTCATAATGTTCTCTTTTCAGCGTTTTATAGCAATTTGAAGACCACTCGGTCCGCTCCGCGGTCGAAAAATCGGCTTTTTCTGCTTCTCAAGATGTGATTCGATCACTTAAAAAGCTCAGAAAGCTCTGAAAAGTTCTTTCATGAAATCAGAAATGCATGAAAACACTACTACATTTTTTTACATAATATAAAAATGATGACGGGTTTTCAAAACAGGTCAAAAGGGACTTCGTACGAAATTTTCAATATCAAACGGGACTTCGTTTTGAAATTTCCCTGGTGCCAGCTCGTGCCGAGCCCTGGTCGTTAGTTATGCGGGGACCAGTTGGGCATCGCGTGCCGTACGGAAGCTCCACGGAAGCCTATATTCCAACAGATTAGTTGCGTATGCATACATTGCATATTTCTTGAGCACATACACCATTGTTTTCTTCGCGCATTGTATGTCCGAAGTTTATCTCTGGCTTTCTTGAATTTTGTTTCTGAAGAAATGAATTCTCCTCCTGTTTATGCAATCCTGCGACTTCGTTGAAAATATTTTTTTGACAAAATTGTGCATCTTCTCCGGTGAATTCGAGAAATAACTCAAGACATGCTCACTTTCGCGCACTGGTATTTGTGCAATTGCACAACAATGTATAAGGCATTCGTAGCGTCTCGAAGAGAAAAATTCGGCTTTTTGTTACACCGGTGACCAGATGTGACTGGATACAGTACAAATAAATTCATTTTATGTAGTGAAACGTACCTATGTAAAAAAGTTTGTGAAGGGAAATTTACAGTATGCAAGAAAATCTTGACATGGGAAAAGTGAGTGTGACTATCATTAGTAGACATAACTCATTCACACTTTTTGCATTCTCATCTCTTACATTTCGTTGCACACGTACCCAATTACTTTTCTTCCTGTAGTGGGGTTGTGTAGTTTTCCAGGTAAGTTTGGTGCCGAACTTTATTCTTGCGAGATGATGTAAAATGCTCATATTACTGATTAATCGAGTTTTTTACTCTCTCCTTTCCAAAGATTCGCAGAGGGCATTTGTCTTGAAAAAACGAAAAAAACCTAACTAGTAAAAATTTTCCATCAGATCTTTGGTCAGGATTCACCAGTCCTATATCTTCTTTTGATGAACAAAACCAAATAACAAAAGAATTTCCATAAAATTTTGCCATCTGCGAAGATGAGTTAACTAATGTATATTTTTTAGTGAATTTTAATGTACATTTTTTAGTGTTTTATAGAAAGTTTTTCTGCTTTGCGTTCAGCTGTTTCCAAAAATTCGCCAACTCAAATTTTTGCAAAGAACCAAAGATGTAAAGCAGGCTTACTTGCGGCACTTTATATGGCCGTATATTATAGTTGACGGAATATATGATTTTCTACCTATCTTTATATTTTATCGGAATATCTCAAATATAATTTTTTATCATTTCTTTTGCACTTATTTCTACCATTCTTCATCTTCTTTTGTAAATAGGAAGTATGTTTTTTCGTTCCCTCCTACTAGGTAATTCTTTTTATAATATGCTAGTTCTCCTAATTGCTGCTTGCTCGAAGTGATTTATACCCCTAAGAATGGGATGAGATTTATTTGCGCGTTTTCGCTCAAACCACAGCATTCTCCCAGCATAGTTATCCAGTCCGTTGCGTTCGGCGCGGCGTCGAAATCCACCCTTTTTCCGAAGCTTTTCAAAGCCAACCATTCAAATGCTAATCTTTACGTTGTCATAAACTCGTCGAGGTGAACTATGCGTTTTCAGTTGTCCACGCCTTTTTTAGAAGCTCAAGTTGAGTTTATAGGAGACCTCTGCTCAGGCTTTTGAATATAGTTCGTGTATTTTCACCATTTTGCAGTTTTGTTATGGGGCAAAAGACTAATAAACTTGACAGTTATCTTGTCGGGGTGAAAACCATGCATTTCATATTAACCTTCGTTTGTTGGTATTCAACTTATGTTAAATCTTTTTCTCTTTTCCTAAAAAAATAGATTCGTTTTGCCCCTTGCCTCGAGAATTTTGAGTCACTTTCTGCAGTAAAAAGTATACGGCTCATGATCATCAATCATTCCATTGATTCCTTTTATAGCAGCCATCCAGTTGATGATTCCATTTCATAATTCCCCCCCCCCCCCTCCCCTCCTTCCCTCCGCTTAGAAAAATGAGAGCTGAAGCGTTTACCTTTTGGCTGAGCTAATTCTCACCGCTTATCTATGCAAAAACGCAGAGCATCTGAGAGCGTTCGGAATTGCGCGATTTCCCATCTTTGACTTTTCATCGTCGAGAGTATCCTATTTCTTGAGCCATCTTCCACATCGTGTCGTTTTCTTTCACACCACCCTAATCATGCAAAAATTTTGCATATATATTTTAAATTGCTGTTAAAAATGCAAATTGCAGTAGTTGTGAAGTCAGGCGTATAAGAATTCATCTTACAAGCCTGAAATTACAGGAGTTAAGTCTGTCCGTACAAAACCGTCGTTTTATAAATATACATGTTGCAGTCTCAAGGTTTATCTACTGCTTCATTAGAAAGCTTGAAAAGAAGCCCGGATTATAGGGCAGAATTTCATTTCTAAACAAATTAGGCAGTGTCTCTTCAAGACTGAGGGGTATTAGGGAGCTTTACCAGTTGGAAGGCTCTCGAAGGCCTCGGGCAGAGTTCGCGCGATTTGATCGTCGCGATCGATCGCGACAGGACAACTGTAACAATACCATTGCGTGTCGATCTTCTTGCACTTCGGTTGTGATAGTTTTCCAACACGACTAATCATGGCTAACTATCACAACCGAAATACAAGAAGATCGGCATGCAATGTACTCTTACAACTTGTTTTGTAGCGATTGAATCTTGACGATCAAATCGCGTAAACTTTGCCCGAGGCCTAAGAGGCCAACAGTCTTATCAGATCCGCTCCCTTTTTCGCGAAAAATTGCTGGCAAGTGACCACTAAAAAGCATTTTTTTGGGGATTTTATGCGAAGTTGAACCATCGTAGGGTTAGGCAGAGTTGGATAGGTTTGTAATAGCACAAATCAAAATGTTGAGATATTGTCCTCAGCAAAGACTAGCAATCCAAAGCGGCCTCATCTTTTCATATATCCCTACTAAATCACCATCAGATATTGTACAAAGTTCTATGTACAACAAAATCGAAGGGTTGATGCATCTACGGCAAATTCTCCCCCCCCCCCCCCCCTCCCCCTCCTAGTGACTCGAAATTTCATATTCTCTGCTTTTTGTGAGCTACTGAGCATGATATTCTTCAATCAGCACATCTTGGTAGGAGAGCAGATGTTGACTACCGTAATTAGTTTAGAAAAATATACGTCTAAAAAATGGGCGAAACGACCGTAAAAGTATAACTAAAAATAACAGTTTCAACAATGTAACATAAACATATAATTAGAACAATTCCCATAACGAGGCACGGTGTTCAGTTTAAGGGAAGACTTCATGCAAAGTCTTTCAAAGTCAAAAACTAAACGTCAAAACAATATATGTTTCTCAGTTTCACGTCTTTACATTTTACTAGTTATTTTTGTTAGAATTGGTCGTTTTCGAGACTGACTGTTACGTTCCTAGGACTACGTTTTCTCCACCCTACGACGTGGACATCGCTCACACTTCGTTCATTGCATTCAACCATCCACCAATATGCGATCTGCAACAACTGGATCGTACGAGACTATCGATGTGCCATTCGTACGAAATCAACTCAGGTCCATTCTTCTAATCGACTCTGTTCGAGCTAATAATAGCGGTAAGTCCTGTTTATACTTCTTTGTAGGTTAAGCTGACTGGTATAGTTTTTAGGCTACCCAGAACGAGTAACATTCCGGGACTTTCGCCGACGTTTTGGATGCTTGATAGAAGATGATTTGAACTCGTCACTGGATAATGCATTGGATGATAGGGCTGCTGTGTCAAGAATACTTGAAAGAATGGACATACATCAGCATAGATATCGATTGGGAATGAGTCAGGTGGGCATTGAGCAAATACCTGGAATTTTTATGTGGGAACTGATTGGGAAGTCCGAAATAAGCCACTGACCAAACCGCAGCCCATAATATTTATCCAGAGCCGAGAAATTCAGCTGCAAACTCGCGCCCATACCGCGCTTTTTTGGAGCCGACCAGCCCGCGACTACGGTACTGGGCAAAGGTTTGCAGCTGAATTTCTCGGCCACGAATAATTCATATAAGCTGCCGTTTGAACAGTAGCTTGGTTAAGGCTTCCCAATCAGTTTTGCATAAGAAACCCGGGTACTAAAGTTGTGACCCTATAGGGCGGGTTTTCTCTCCTATAATGCGTTGTGAATGTGTTTTTATAGGTGTTACTCGCGGCTGATGTGCTTTGTGAGCTAGAAGATCGTCGAGAGCTATCGTTATCGGGCTTAGTGACTGCCTTCCAAAGAGAATGTCGACGATATTTAGCAGCAAAATGGTTACAGCGCAGAAGAGTGCTGGAAACAGCAATAAGATGCATACAGGTGAACAATTTTGGTTCCGAAGAATATTTACAAAAGGGAGAGAAAAGAGTTAAAGAAGTATGAAAGAGCGCTAGCCGATTTCAGCCATCTACTCTTCGAGGGTTTCGAGTTTCTTCGTCCCCACTTCTGCAGAAAACGCATCAAAAATTCCATTTTCCGAATTAGCTGAGAACAAAAAGTTTTGCTGACAGCTTGCAGTGCAGCCATCTTTCCCATAAATTCTCATTTCATGCCTTGTTTTCACGGTTGTGTTAGTCGTCAGAAACAGGAACAGGTAGTTTTTTGTCTTTGATTTGATTTAGAAAACACAAGGGGACGTTTTGCTATCTGGATTTTTGGCATAGTTTCCCAGTAAGATCTGCTTTTCAGCTTCAAAATCTACTATTTTCTTTCCCGCGCATTTTTACTAGCTGACCATTAAGCGTCTTCGAGTACTATGAAGAGTACTGTATGGGCGAGAGTTAAAGATTGTTTTTCTGAAATCTGCCCAAAATCTACCTTTTACCTTACGCTGCCGCTTATTTCATTCTCGTGTACTCTCTTTGACCTTCAGCGTTCTCGAGTGCGAGGACGGTATGGGCGGGAGTTACAAATAGAAGTTGTGAATTCTTAATTAAAATCTGAATTTTGAATTCTTACCTAAAATCTAAATTTTAACTTTTTGCTGCTGCTAACTTCATTCGATCGTAGTCTTTTTCATCTGACCATTCAGCGTCCTCCAGTGCGGCAGAGAGTACGGTATGGACGAGAATCATAGACTGAATTTCTGAAATTCTTACCTAAATCCACTTTTTACCTTCATGCTGCTACTATCATATAACCAATCAGCGTTCGAATGCGGTAGAGAGTACGGTATGGGCGAAAGTCAAGAATTGAATTTCTAGAATCCTAATCTTTTTGAACTGACCAATCGCGCCTTCGAGTACGGTAAGTAGTACGGTATGGGCCAAAGTTCGGACATGTATCCACGAATGAATCGTATGAGCTGCCGCTTGGGCATCGGCCTAGCTAAACTCTTCCGTTTAGCTCCCAAATAAGGAACCTAATACTCTGATATTGAAATGTACTGCTAATGTTTAGATTTCTTTTCTCTTTCCAGAAAAATGGACGAGCATATGTGCGAGTGCGAGAATGGCCATGGTGGAGACTCTACACAAGAGTGGTACCGCTAATCGCAGCTTCAAGGTACTCTTTCTATCCTTCAAAAAACCAGTTCCACATTAGCCATAAGTCATAACTTGCATTGAGATTGTCATACTGTCTAAAAAGCCACTAGAAGTAATGGAAATCATCGTCTGATTCAGGGGCGACACGTCACATCAGGAATGCGAACAACGTATGCGTCAACTCGAACAGCAGCTACACACATTGCGAGTCGAGAAGACAAAGCATGAAGGACGAGTCGAAGAATTGGAGCAGCGCTTAGCTCGAGAAGTTCAAGCAGCAAATGAAGTGACACAGGCTCTGGATAGAGAAACACAGACACGAGTACAGTTGGAAAGGAGACTGCAACAGTATAGGGATGGAGGTGAATTTTTATGTTAAGCAGGCACTTTGACAAGCGCACGCGTGCGGTTGCGTTGCGTTTTGACTGCGTGGATGTGTCTAGCTCATTTGTACCACATGCAGATCGGTTATTTCAGTGCTGGTTCAGCTCTCAATATGTAAAAAAAATCATGTAGTAACGCACTATAGGTGAAGCTGAATTTTTTTTGTAAAGAAAGTCTGTGGCGGCACGCGTGCGGTCGCGTAGCGTCTCAATTGGGTGGGTGTGGCTGTTGTGAGGTGCAAGCAGCATTTTTGAGGTATCATCTATCTAATTTTGAGACTAAAAAATGGGTGCCCGTTCCTTTGCGGGTCATATGATATAGCGCTCTTTGTACGTCATTTAGACTATGCGTGCGGTTGCGCTGCGTTCCAGGGCCGTGGCCAGTATTGGCGTAGTTTTCTCATGAAACCGTACATGAATATATCTTGGCAGAGTCGTGTATATAAGTTCATTTAGTCTTTTAGAAGAAGAATTCTTCGAATGTCTTTCGGATTACGCGTGCGGTCGCGCTGCGTTTGGGGGCGTGGCTTGCGAATATCGTTTTGTAAATCGATATTTCTTGTACAGTTTATGTGCGGTTGCGCTGTGTTTGAGGGCGTTATCTATAGCAAATATCCTTTCTATAAATTTATGTGAATATTAGTAAGCGTGCGGTTGCGCTGCGTTTTGGGGCGTGATATTCAGCAGATATATACTTTGTGTTTGCATGGATATTCATGCACAATATATATGCGGTCGCGCTACAATTGAGGGGTAACTATGGATAATCTAATTTTTTGGTTCTATACAGCAGAATTTAGTACACGATACTTTTATGACTTTACACAAGTATGAACGGACTATAAACTTCAACTTTTAAGCTGGATTTTGCATGGTCTCGCGCGCCCTCGCATCGCTTTCTCGGCATGGGGGCAATAAAAATCTTTGAATCTCAAGATTTTTCACAGATGCAATTCTCATCCCAATAAAATCTATGAGAACGCGAAGCGCATTAAAATGTCTTCTTTTGACGATACAGTGAAACTAGCTACTTGACAAATGGCCGTTATGTGTTTGAATGTCGGATTCCAGCTTTAAAACGACGTAAAACGATATTATGTGTGACGCTTTTTCGTATGGGTACAATACGCGTTTCTACAAATCATTCCACCGTTCGGCTAGCTTCTAACTTTCATAAAACCTATGCGCGGAATTTATTGTTCATCACTACGTCGATAGTCACACTGCTAGACTTTTGAGAGGCCAGGTGGAAACAGCTTATACCATTACAAAATGAAGATTTATTTGCGGGTAATGGGTAGTACTGTAACTGTCTTGAATGTTTTTGCTGTGAATTTATGGCATAATTGTCTGAATGGGTCTTATTCCGAGAGTAGCTGGGTAAGAAAAGATGGTAGAAGTAATGATAAGTACGAAACATTTCTTCGAATGTACTCTTTGGAATTATAGTTCCTGGGAGGTGATTAATGCATAGATTGGGGGTCTGCGAGCACGCCCCTTTTTGGACGAGTTGTCTCTACACTTTTGCAGTAAGTTCATACTTTTCAAAGAATGGACAGGTTATCAGTGTTACGGTTCGCTTAGGAATGACATAGTCTATAATGTATGAGAATTTTGGCGTGGTATCGGAAGGCAGTTGAGCCGAAACGCTAGTTGAATAAGTCTTATTGATCGAGGCTTTGAAGACAGTAGTCAAACAAATCTTTGCACTTCTGGAAATTTCAAGTGTGTACTGTTTGGAAGGCCTTAGCTAAGCCATAGCCCAAGTGGCAGTTTGTATGATTTATTTGTGGCCGAGAAATTTTAATCTGAACTTTAGCCCAGACCGTACTCTATAAGAGCGGGCATGATCTGGGCTGGAGTTTGAAGTCGAATTACTCGGCCCCGAATTGATCACGTGAGCTGCCGCTTTGAGAATGGCTTAGTCAACTCCTACCAATTAGTTCCACATAAGAAACCCATTACTGAAGTCTTGGCACTATTTTTGGCTTGGCTAGAAACAAATGCTCCTGATTTACTGTATCCTAATCTGCTCGGTAGTACGCAGTGAAGAAATAGACTGTCAAAGATAAAATAGCCATAAATGACTAAATGAAGTGGCAATTTTACCAGAAAACTCGTAGATAAGGAAGGCATTGCTACTGAGTTTTTCTTGGGCACTGGTCCCTCTAAAATGCCTGGTGACAGTTTAAGTTTAACTAAGAAATGTTTAGGTATGGACGAAGAGCGCATTAGCAGAGTTTCATCGTCGATAAAACTGGAATCTGATGAGAAGGTAGGTTTTTCATGATTTTTTATCTCGTTTTTTCCTGAAAAAATCCATTATTGCATGATGGAAAGGAACGAATTTAGACAACCGAACTCAAAAATGAATTAGTGCGAGTGCAACACGCAGAAGAACAGTTGAGAACGAAAACTCAACGTGCTGTCGCTCAGCTGAAAGATGTTGAAGCTGAACTGAATAAAGTACGAGCACGAAACGAAACATTGGAGAAAAAACAACAGAGGTAAAATAAACTTTTTTGTTCCCCTTATGAAGTTTTTCTTATGATTTTTGTTTCCTTAGATTTGATGCTGACATTGGTGCCGTACAGTCCCAGTTGAATGAGATGAAAGAGTATAAAGAGAGGGTTGAAAAGGAGCGAGATGAACATCAAATGGTTGCATCAAGAAAGAATAGTGAGCTACAGGTTGGTCTTTGGAATGGGTTCTGGATTGAAAAAAATTTTTTGGAATTTGTTGCGAAGAAAATTAGTTCAGAGGCAACTTTGCAATCTATGGCGCGTAAGTCTTACTTAGAAGTTTATTGAAGAGCCTAACTAAGCCGAAGCTGAGGAGGCGCTTCTATGATTTGTTCGTGGTCGAAAAATGCAACTGTGAACTTCCGCCCAATACCGTAGCCTCTGCGAGCAGTCTACCCCTCGAATACGGTACTGGGCAAGAGTTACGAATTGAATTTCTCGGCCATCCAAGAGCCATATATGCTGCTATTTGGTTAATTGCTTAGTTAAGGCCTTCCAATCATTATTCAACTAAGAAGAGCCAGATGCTCAAATTTACTTGTAAATGCTTTTGAGACGGTCCCGCCCATTTAGGAACTCAAAACTGAAAATTCTGAGCTCCGCACCCAAGTTTCACGGCTCAGACGCGAAGCGGAAGAAAGATCCGATGCTGCTTCGGGAGGAGAACAAGTTGTAGCCCTACAGAAAGCAAAACGAGAGCTAGAGAATAAATTACGCGAGCAGGTGGGTAAATTCTTACTCTGGTTGGGTAAGTGAAATGCTTCTATGAGATTTTAGGAGGAAGAATTGGATGATTTGGCTGGTACGAATCAACAACTACAACAACAAATTACACGGCTTGAAATGGGAGCAGAACGATTGAAAGCGGATTTGAATAGGGAATCGAACACGAAAGAAACCGAAATTGATGAGATTCGTGGACAGTACCAGAGAAGGGTAAGTAATTGGTGGTCCTAGAGCTGCGTTTAGAGTTGCTCGTGCCAGCGCCGTGCCAGCGCCGTGCTAGCGTTGGAACGGCGCTTTAACGGCGTTGGCACAGCGCCGGCTCACGGCGACCTGGACGCACTGTGATCGTTGTGCAATGCTACTTTATCTTTGATTTGCGAATTTTCAGCTAAGGACCTTAGAAGATCAGTTAGCGGACCTCCAAGATGCAAACTCGTCCCTAGTCAAAGAAAATCGCGTTCTTGAAGCTAGAGCTCGTCAATATGATTTAAATACGCAAACGTGAGTGAAATATATTATTTACTTTGACATTTCTACATCTGATGTTTCGTTATAATTTCTATTTTTCACGCTACTTTATGTAGAAACAGTCTTTCAAACCGTACAACTTTTTATTTTTTTTTGCAAATAAAAATATATGTATTATTTCCGTTAAGATGTCTTGGAGGGATCACATAAGATTTTTTTAATATAGCCAGATGTATCACCAAAAACTCTGGAATTTAGTTTCGAGTTTTCTGGAGGGCATTATCGCCGTGAACTACGAAAAGCACTTGCACTATTGGCTGACACACAAACTCTGCTAGCTCATGAACGAGAATCTGCACCGTCACAGGCCCTGTTGAGGCAGTTGAGGTGGGTCAAAAAATTTTTCTGGATTTTGTAATTATCAATTTTTTTGAAATTGTACGGTCACTTTGATTTTTTCTTGCAGAGATCAACTTGAGGACGCAGAAGCGGCGAAAATGAGTGCCTTAAAAGGCCGACATGGACTTGAAAGTGAATTGAATGAAGTCCGAGTGCAGGTAAGGTTTTCCTCCCTTTGCCCTTCCTGCCTTAATTTGTATTCCTTGTAGCTGGAACAAGCTCTTGTGGCGAAAAGTGCAGCAGAAGATCGAGCACTGATACTGCTGAAGGAGAAAAACAGTGGCTCAGCGCTGATTGAGGAGAAAGATGAACAGTATCAACAGTTGATGAGAAAGTACAAAGCAGCCATTCAGCAAACTCATTTGGATCATATCGCTATGGCGGACTATGTGGAACAGGTAATTGCAAAAGTCATCTGAAAAGAGGGTTAAGGGAAATTTCCTAAAAAAGGAATAAGTGAAAAAGGAAGTAAGAGATGATGTGTATGGTGCGAAACGGATTTGATTACCATACAGAGATAATGCGTGCGCGATTGCCCATGGTAATGCCGTTCCAGCGCCGTGCTAGCGCCATCGATCGATCATCTGCGCCCGGAGTTTCGGCACGGCGCTAGTACGCTTTTGGAACGGCACTGGCATGTCAGGATTAAGGGTTCGCGATTCCCTTACCTGATGTGTAGCGGTACAGGTTGGTATTATATATATTTATTATCTACATATATTACAAGAAAGGGGAAGGGGGAGGACTGACTGAGCAGCCTCACGGTGCGCGGTCGTAGGGGGTCACTGGCTCCTATCTGACCTTCTCGGCCAGCTCACGGGAGAGCAGCAGGCGGAGCTTAGCTGCGTCCCGACATCTCCATTCCTTTAGAAAGCTCGTCCTCGAGCTTGTTCGGCTGTTGTTGAATGTCTTCCGAGTTACGTGTGTAAGGAGCACACGTGTTACGGCGAGACCATAGAGAACTTCGATTTGGGGTACCATTATCTTCAGAGTGATTGAGTGGAGGAGTTGGTTTAGGCGGATTGGATAACCAAACAGCGACCTTCACCTTATCCTAGGGGTCCAGAGCGAGCTTGTCCTCAAGCGGAGAGATATACGGAATAAACGGTGTGACGTAGGGAACTGCTTGGGAAAGGCAGTAACATGTAGTTGTAGGAAGTGAATAGGCGTATTATAGCCGGAAATTGACGAATGGGAAAGTTGGCGTGGAGATTTATAGGAGTATAATGTGACCGGTATTTGAATGTTGATACGATGAAGTTATGGGTTGAAGGGCAGTTGTTGTAGAACATGATAATGAAAAAAAGATAGTGTTGTGAGCAGAAATTACATAGCTAACAAAGTATTGGGCGATATTGGATGATATTAGCAATTCTGAAGTATTTTACATAAAATAGTTCAAGCTACATACGGAATTTTAGGACGTGTGATATAATAAGGTATAATAAGGCACTGCACAATTTAAACTGAGTCATAAAATGAGTGGTTATACATCATGTAAATAATGCAATTGTTTAGAAAACGGAGAGGAAGATTCGGATGCAGAATTGAGCACAACAAACTGTGTTTAATTCAACATAGTGGCAAATTTTGAGTGTTAGAGAAATGGGAAATTTTTTTTTTCGCTGCCTAGCACAAAATATTTTTTTCATTCTTTGAACTGCCGGTTCAAAGAAATTTATGCTTATAGATAATCGCAGCGGTGCGGCAAAATAGGTGTAAACAAACTCACGTTGAGAAATATCCCGACAGCAGAAAAAAATTAAAACTCTGATAGTCGGATTTTTTCCAAACTGAGTTGCATAAAATTGTCTTGCAGTCTTGCGACCAAATTCAAGACTACATTCGTGAACAAAATAAACATGATATCGTTTATGTTCTGATGTTTCCTTTTTTTTTTTGAAATTTTTTTTTTTGAAATAGTGCGTTTTTGGAAGCATTAGCCCATTTTCGACATAGACAACATGAAAATGCAAACCAAATTATACAAATTGAATTAGCAGTACATTTTGGTATAGTAAATTATACGAATAGAACGTTTCCACTGCAGAAACTACGATATGTAACTTTTGAGTCATAAGTAAAATTCAGCGGAAATGATCCTAACATCATGTTTGGTGATTCACGACTAATTTGTAATTTATGAAAGCTATCTATGTTTCTTCAAGTCCAGATCGGTATAGAAAACTCCGTGAAATAATGTTCCTGAATTATGCTGAAATCTGTAAAGGAATCATTATCATCGTTTTCTAGGAAAAACAGGACTGGGTGACGTGAAACGTTCTAAACATGTTTTTTTTCATTCCGAAGAATGAATTTCGGTGCGACAAAAAAACTATGTCTTAATTGCTTATTGCCAGCTTCTGCTGGTCATCTTTCAAAAAAATGCGATCATTGCTTCCGATCAGAATATCAGTCTGGATATCTCAATATGTTCAGAAGCACTGAGGATTTTTTTTTTGACAAACAGCAAGTTTTTTTTTGTAAAGAGTCTCGGTTAAAAGAGAATTGTTCTCTGAAAACAATCTCCATTCAGCTACAAGTAATATCCTCTGAAAATATTTATAATTGTAGTTCTGAATTGCTACGTTTATCAACGTATGTAATGCAGACTTGGTTTGTGCAATCGCACAAAACTGGAGTAACTGCCATTTTCCAATGTTCTTACCAATAGTGTGTCCACTGTTTTTGAATCTGAATACTTTTGCGCATATTTTGGTAAAACCTCGGAGAACATAAAGAGGTCTCATCTAATATCTGAACGTGTATCTTATATGTACGGAAAAAGTTATCAAGGACAAACTTCAATCACAGTGAGGAAAATTTACCTCAACTAAATTGAGAAAATTTGAAAATCTCAAAAAAGAAGAATATTCACGTCTGAATATCTCTTTTTTTCCATTGCCTCGGTGTGTGAGAGGAACTTGAAATTTTAGATATTTTAGGTTGTGCACTTTTGTTAATCTGTTCTAACAAAAACTTGTATGCTTTCTGTAGAATTTAGACGTCTAGAAGGAAAGCTTGGCCGAGCTTTGATTTCTGTCGGTAAATTCAGTGAGTGCGAAAGTTTCATTAGCTATTTCATTTTTTTTGCTGGCTCTAGTTTATCGAAAAGCTCAAGTAGTCTTTTAATCTGTAAAGAAATATTGCGAATTTATCATATCGTATAGAAAAGTAGCATTGTTCGGTATGTGGAACAGAATTTGATTGAAAATTTGAGGGTGAGAGCTTTGAAAACAAGTTACTCTGATACATGTCGTTTTTTTCTAGCAAGACTTTTTCATTAAATCAACTAAACTTTGACTTGCAGAAAAAATATGCCATTTTGCATTCAAAATTGGTTCTTCTCATTCGCGAATTTAGCTCGATCATGAGACTGATTGCGTTATGGAAGCTTTGAATCTACAGAACTGTTAGTTCTTCCTTTCAATAGAAAAAATTTTGATTTTGTATCAAGTGAAATGAACTGTGATTTTTTTTTTCAGAGAGAACAGATATTTAGCAATGGTTTCAATTGTCAAATCATTCTTCGAAAAAAGTGTTTCATGATGCTTGGGAAATGTAAAAAACTGAATTCAGTGTATTATCCTTTTGAAAAAAATAAAGCCTTTCATCTCATAAAAATGTATTTTTCAGAATTATAAAAGCGCTGGCAAGCAAACCGAATTCGAGGATGCTTTGACGCATGAATAGACCCTGTACGTTATGAAAAATTTGACTTGTAGCCCCTAGAAAAAATTTTGATTTCAAGTTGAGATTCAAGATTCGCACTTTCAAAAACTGCATGCGATATTTGATACATAACTGGCGAGGTTTTTTCGATCAAGATCATTTCTGTAATTGGTAAAATTTTTGAAGAAAAATATGGAAAAAGAAAAAAAATTTTTTTTGAAATGCAGCTTGATTTGACGTTTTCATAGGTCTATTGAACTAACGGCTGAGAGAATGCTTGCTATATCACTTCGAAAGTGGATGTGTAATCATAATGAAGGCAGAATAAGCGCTTCTGTTGATTTATTTTCATTTTGGGCTTCTGAGGTAAAATTCTATAATATGCTGACGGTTTTTTTTTCTGGAGAAATTTCAAATACGTTTGAATAGTGCAAAATTGATACCAAGGCGCATTTTGTTAGAGTATCTCAAATGTGGAAAGCTGTTCAATTTAGTTCAAGCGGTGTTATTGTTGCAGCCAAAAAAATTCATTTGAAAGCAAGCTCTGATCGGACAAGATTCTGTTCAATAATGAGAAGAAATCCCTAGCAATAGGACCATTGGAAAGTATGGATGAAAGGTCCAATTTTTTTCTAGAAGCTCTGAAGAATCTTCAACTTAAGCAGAAAAATTAATCTCATTGTCAACGAGAATTTCCTCTGAATCTCTATTTCATGTTTAACACCGGTATGATAACCAAATGAAACTTTTCTCTAAATCTAGATAAAGAAGAAAGCACACGTTTCCGAAAATATGTATGAATAATGAGGAGATTTTCTGAAGTGGTAAGATTAACTTAACTGAGACTAACAAGATTCGCGAAATTGAGCTTTTTTTTGTTTTGGAGATAGTACGCAACTATGCGTGCTAAAGCAAAATTCTGGTGTTCCTCTCTTTTCTTTTTGTAAGGTGATTGAGGTGGAAAATGTTTTGTTAGACATTGGCACTGCATTATGAAAACTTCGTGAGGGAAATACCAGAATCGGTCAATTGGTGAAATTTCGTAGTCGTGCAAAATTTGAGTTTCTTGAATTTCCAAAAACTGAGTGAAATTGGTAGTCCTGAGCTGAATTATGCGAGCAGAGTTGTATAGTTGCGTATTTCAGATGCTTGGCTCTACAAATATAACATTCTTGAGATATATTTTGAATTTTGAATGAAGGATATTTCGGTTTTTTTTTCATTACTCATAAAAATTTCAGAAAAAATCTGCAACAGCCTGTCTACAATATACATATCGAAGAGTATATACTGAAAGAAGGTTTGGAAGGTTTTCCGAGTACACCTAGTAGGAGCAAGCCACGTGAATGAATTAACACTTACAAAACGTTGAAAGAATTACTTCCTGAAGGTTCAATAGTCAGAGAAATTTTTTTTCCTCACTTGGGGAATAAAACCTAAATTTCAGGAATTTTTTTTTGAATTTAGCTGTATCATAATTTTATTTTCAAAGTTTTGGAAAGATTATTTATAGCAAATATGATAATGGTGTGATTGTCTCAACGGACATTATTCACCTCAAATGAGCCTATGTAGTTGAATATATCTTTAAGGATCACCAACATATAGCTTTTTCTTTAGCAAAATTAAAGTCTCAGACAACCAAATATTAGTTAGGGATTTTTTTTCTTTGCAATACAAATTTTTTTTTAACACTGCTCAAATGACATTCGGAGAACATACTGAAAAATACAGTGAAAGCAATTTCGCTTAATTTTTTTCCTAATTAGCTTTGTCAAAAAATTGTGAGTTATAGGTTGGGTCTAGAAGTTATGCAACTTGCGAATATCGACTTGATTTACACAAATCTTGAATTTGGGACCAATAAATGCAAAATGGTAGTTTTTCCTTTTTTTCAAAAATCCTTTTTTTTTAACAGCTATATGCTATGCTCAGCAGTTGGTGAAGGAAATTCTCATTATATTTTCGTGCTTTAAAACAAATTTCTTGAGTGCAATACGGAAGCGCGTTTGTTTGACTACTTCAGATTCGGTGGACATACTACTGCAATTTTTTTTTCGCCTTAAACAGCAGCATAATTGTCATTAGACTTTTGAGGCTGCCGTCTCTTCCTCATAGTAGAGGCTATAAGAACCGACATGATTAAATTAAAAGAGACAAATAATTACTTGCTTTTGTTTAGCATGGCGACGCACGAGATCTGACCTACGCAGGGTGACTTTTTTTGCGGTGTATGGTCAGTAATCAACACGGAACTATTGTAAAAGCAACGTATGGCGAATCTAACGTCATAGTTGTGCGTTCCTCTCGTGTCTTGTTAGAGGGCGGCTGTATTGTGCGATCAAATGTTCACTACTAGTCTCCGGATTGACTTGTAAGAGGCACGCGCCGAGACCGATGGTTGATGCATCGGTGTGGATGATATAGGGTTTTCCTAGAATAGGAAGCACTAAAACAAGCGCATCCACTAGGGCATGCTTTAATGCTTGGAATGCTATTTCTTACTCCTTGCTCCAAAAAAAAACTGCATTTTTTTTATGCGCAGTTTGTTCAATGGATGGGAAATTGTAGCAAAACGCGGTAAATCTTCAAAAGTACGATCCTGCACTAAGAATGATTTGAGTGCTATTATTATCTGTGAGGCGCGGAATATCACCAAAGCTGTCGAAATTTCTTTTTTTATTGATCTAGACGTGTATCATTTTCATGAAACAACAAACAATATAATTAGTGTTGTGTATAGTATGAATATTTCTAAATATTTCAAAAGGTTTGAAGTGGTTTTGTATTCGACAGCAGAAGGTAAATATTACGATAATATAATTTGCGTAAGATATACGGCAGCGGGACATCGGGCACAACTGTTGTTGTTGGCAGTATAAGTTGCATAAGAACAGACGCTAAGGGGTCATATTCTGCAACTGCTGCTGTTGGACGTATACCATGATCGTAAAAGATTAGGTTACGCAATTATTAATCCTGTTCCAAGGCTTATCGCGACACAAAGCAGACGTATTTGCACTATCGCAGCTGAAAGGTCATAGCGCTCAAATAATATTAATTTGTCACAAAAAATTTTGTCGCGGGTCACATGCTTACAACTTGCGAGGGCAGCTGCGTTGCTCTATAGCCAAAGGGGGGTCACCGCGCGCGGACAGTAGCACTGGGTTTTGCTATATTTCCTGAGAGGTCGAAGCATTACGTTTTTCGACACTTCCCAGCAGAAGTTATCTGCAGTGGGCCAGCAGATTTATCTTTCTGGGTCTAATACTGCAGTTTTTTTAAGCTAGCGATTGCGAACAAGTCCATTGTCTAATTATATTAAAAAAAAAAAAGTTAACAAAAAATTCACGGAATCACGGTTTCACGGATTCACGGATCACGGATCACGGCATCACGGATCACGGCTGCTAAATGCGCTTTTTAAATTCACGGATTCACGGATTCACGGAATCACGGATCACGGAAAATGCGAGCGCTTTACGAAAGAAAGAAATTGACAAAATGGGACTGTTCGCAGGACTGTATAAATAATTTTTATTTTATTTTATTTAATAATTTTTTTTCTTTCTGAAAAGGTTAAATATTTGACTCACACGGAGATTAGATATTTCACTCACACAGCTAATATATTTGTGCAACATAAAAAAAACACTCACACACAATTGTTCGTTGGTGACGTCCATAGCGATCGATCGAATTGTAGAAGTGGGAGGAGGGGGGGGGGGGGGAATAAATTTTTTTTTTTTTGAAACCCATATCAAAAGTGAAGATGAGAAAAAAATTCTAGAATTCTTAAAAAAAAGGAATCTTCCCTGGGACCTCCATGTCAGGATTAAGGGTTCGCGATTCCCTTACCTGATGTGTAGCGGTACAGGTTGGTATTATATATATTTATTATCTACATATATTACAAGAAAGGGGAAGGGGGAGGACTGACTGAGCAGCCTCACGGTGCGCGGTCGTAGGGGGTCACTGGCTCCTATCTGACCTTCTCGGCCAGCTCACGGGAGAGCAGCAGGCGGAGCTTAGCTGCGTCCCGACAGGCACAACGCCGGCGCGCAACTCTGAACCTGCCTGAGAATCTATCCCATAGCGGTAACCACAATTTTCTTTAACATAGAAGAAACTCACTAATTCGGTAAACCTGATGAATTTCAATCCATATTTCGGAAAATTCATATTTATGAGACTTTTTCACTATTTGGCCAATTTACAAATTTATATTGATTTATTACTGTTGCCACTAAAAAAATCAAGTCAATATATTTTCAGATAGCCGAGTTAGAAAAGACGAAGCAAAAGCTGAGCGAACAACTCAGTGAAGAAACATCGAATGCTGCTTTTCTTGCACAACATACCGTGGAAAAACACAAGCTTATCCTATGTGAGCAGAAAGTTCGAGATCTAGAAGGAAAGCTGGATTTGGAGATCGCACAAAAGCAGCGTCTTGAGGTTGGCAGTCGTTTTAGGCAGTGCCCAAGCATTCGTAACTGAATCCTAGTACTTAGCTCAGTCAGTGCCCAAGCGGCAACTCATGTAATTCATTCATGGCTGAGAAATTCATCTCTAAACGCTCGTCCGTACCGTATCCCTTCCGAGGTGTTGCGCTCTCAAGTACGGTACTGGGCGAGAGTTTAGTCACGAATTTCTTAGCCAGTAGTGAGTCATATGAGCTGCCATTTAGGCAGTGGCTAAGTCAAGCCTTCCCGATTAGTTCCTATACGAAAATCCTAGTTACCCAGACTTGCTTGGACTCTGGGTTAACGTGCAAGTTCTTACAAAATGAACTCATTCCAGTCCATGGTAATAAAATTGCGTGATGAGGTGGATTCATTGCAAGAACAAGTGACAGAATCGACCACAAGTCGTGATAAGGATAATGAAATATTGCGCAAAGCAAGGTAACCTTAAAATTTTTTTTCTTTTTTTCTAAAGAATGATCCATTTCTTTTTAGGAAGGAAAATATGCAGTTGCAAGAGACTATAGAAGAATTACAAAAGAGAGATATGGATGCAGTACATAAGAACAAAGCTGCGGTAAGTGCGAGTTCATTTTGAGAGTATATAGTCTATTTGTCGCTATCGACACACCTTCCCGCCAAATCGTGCCGCAACCGCACGCGCACTTTCAATGTCGAAAGCTAGATTTGATTTTTGAGCAAAAAAACTTGACCAGCTTGGTTTCCTAAAGTTCTTCTCCAAATAAATTGTTTGGAAATTTTTGTTATGAAGCTTCCCATTCTATACTGTTGTACCTATATTTGTTCTTCAAAATAATTTTTAGCGCGATGAAATCGATCGGTTAGAAGAAACTAACAAAGCACAAGCAGCTGAGTTGAAACTATGTCACCGGCGAATTGAGAGCCTACAAGCAGCACTGCATGAAGGTTTGGGTGATGAGGAATCAGATGGGGAAAGTGAATGCGAACGTACCTTGGAAGATGGTCGAAGCACTGGGTGAGGTTTTCAGTGTTTATAGTCCATTCAGCTTGAAATCGGCACATGTTCCCGCCGAACCGCGCCGCGACCGCACGCGACCGGGGGAATTTTGTTTTGAGCGGTTCTTCTGCTGTTTTTTTTTTCAATTTAAGAACAAACGCATAAACTGCCTTTTCTGTTTCGTTTATTTTTTTTCTTTCAGCATGAATATCCTGTAAACTAGCCACGGGCAATTGTAGCAAGATGCATTCCGACACTCCCTCCCCCCCCCCTGTGGTGCTGAAGATCTGTTCAGTGAATATAATGACCATGTAATTGCTTATTTGTACATTTGACAGCTTGTACCATTTCAAAATACGAAGTATTAACAATCCCTGTTTTCTTGAATATTCCGTTTGTGATAAAAGCTATCGGGATAGGCATTAATGAAAAATGATCCCATACACTTTGTATTCTTTGAGAAAACTTGTTGCTTTCTTCATTCCATTGTATTCTTGCAAAATTTTGTTTTCTTTACTCTTTGGTGTACCCCTAACTTTTTTGTACCCTAACTTTTTGCAGTATTTTCGCTAAAAAATGACCAATTATTCTCTATGAACTTCACATTCTGAGATCTTCTATGCAGAATTGAGCAGCTTGTCCTTCTCAAAGTGAATTTGCATATTCACGGATGTGGTCTACCGCTTTTCTTTCTATCTTCACGAACGTTTTTCTATAGAAAATAAAACGTTCTTCTACGTTGTGTTTAGTACTCGCATCACAAATTTTTAGCAGTTTGATTAGTGAGGTTTGTACCTAGTTTTGTTTCATTGTTCAAAGTTTGGGAAATTGTCAAAATGGCGCTTTTCGTCTTTTTGGGCATGAGTAATGCTGAATGGGCGTGGCGCGAGCCACCAATCACTTAGTTTCCGCGGAAACATACCGTATTAGATTGTGGAAAAGAACGATTTGAAAATAGAAGAAGTTTGGTACAACACATTACAAAAAACCGTCACACAGCGTTTACAGTTTTCTTTTTTGAGTATTAGCGTAACTGAGTAAAAAATGTTTACTTGATCTACATAGTTGAAGAGGCTGCTAATTGCAGGCAAATAATAACAATAAAAAACTATAAAACAAGCTAGGCGATTCATCGCACGCAGAGAAAGAGAGTGCCATTGCGGATGCTGTCGGCATTTCTCAAATCAAACGCACATTCACCTCTCTAGTTGTCTGCTGCCTCTCGCAAACACGTACTATCTTGATGAACATAATAATGTCCAACCTCGGCGTACAAATGGCCCATAGCAGATAACGGAATTTTCACAACAGTTTTAATAGACATCAAATTGTTGAAGTGAAAATCAGATCCAAAGCTTTTCTGGAAAAAATAGACAAGTTGTTTCTATTCGAAGAGCTATCAAGTATCTCCCATTCAAGACACTTAAGCCCAAAACTACTTTGTTGCTCTTATAGATTTTACTAAAAAATCATCTTACCCGGAAGACTTCCTAAAAAATGGCATATCCACACAAACTGGTTCTTGTAACTCAAGTGATTTATAAACAAACCCTTGAACCATTGCGATTTCTGAAGAAGCAGTGACACGTGATTCATTGATCCGTGTAATCCATCGTGATTTTTCGGATGTCAGGTGCACAGCAAGAAAATCTCGAAAAAGAGGGTCTAAAAATCATCGATGAAAGAAGGAAAATAGTTGATAGAAGGGGAAGAACGATCTGATGAGAAAAAAATTGGCGCTTTATTCTGAGTAATGATATTTTCAATTTACTCATTCTCTTAAGGTGGGTATTAGTAAGACGAATTTGTATGAGCTGGTAAGAAAAAGCATAGATTGACCGTAATCAAGGACGGCGCCGCTGCACCGCAGCACCGTCTGCTCCCTCTTTGAATAGTGCGCTTTCTTATCAAATCACTGCTTCTCTGCACAGTAACTGCGTCCTCTTTGCGTCATTGTCTGTCCTCTCCTCTTTAAATGCGTTCTCTGATTCTTCAGAATGACGCTTGGTCCGCGCATCGAAAAACTCAGTTGAACTGTAAATGGTATCTTAAGTAATTTTTTATCGACTGTCCCAGTTGTCGAGCATGTTTCCAGAGCAATTTATGGGTCGGTGGTGGATCAGTATCTTGGGGCTAATACAGCTCTCAACAATACATACCGGCGCTGCAAGATGTGGGAGAAGCTTCCGGTTGCGCGCTGAATGCACGATATTCTCGAATTCTGCTTACAAGACGCCATATATCGGAGGTCCGCCGTATAGTGCGCCGCATTCTCTGACTGAACTGATTCATAACGGTTCAGATGTTGAGTATGGTGCCAACTAAATGTTAAAGGCAGCATGCACTCAATTCTTCCATGTACCTATCATTCTGGGGCCTTTCCGAAGCCCTGCTTACAGATTTGGAGCGCAAAATATGCGATTTCCTCAAAAACTCCTATCCAACAGATGGGCGGAGCTTGATAGGGTGGGCGTGGCTTGGTAGCACTTTCGCGGGTTCCAGGACGATTTTTTACATTTAGAAGCCACATTGGAGGGCCGGATCAACGCAGATGCCCCTCATTTGGGGCCCGCTATCAGGCTAGGCTTACTAGTAAGGAGCGTGGCATAGATTTTTGCCTGGAGGCTGCCTTTGAATCGCATTTTACGGATGTAAATCGCCATGCATGTTCTATCAAACAGAATTTTCGTAAAAACGTCAGAACACAGATGACATATGCAATTTTGACATCGTACCCGGATGTCATTTGGATGATTGTCATCGCATGTGAATATTGTCGAACCAGTGACATATGTCGTTTATAAAAAGCAACGCGCGTTGAGAGTTGGGGGATTGGCGGCAGCGCCTAGGCAGAGGCTTGGCCTCAGCTGCGTCAGGCGCAGTGTACAAACTCGCTCTGTCTCAGTTGCTTTCGCCTCTTGGGCCCCGCTTCGTCCATGGACGATATCGTATGGATCCGCGAAGAACCGCCAGCTGAAGTCGAACGGACCACTAATGGCACGGCTACGTCCTCTGAGCTGAATACCTTAAATGGCTTCAGCGACGGCGGTTACACCGTCGACGATGATGGATCCGTCGAAATTCCCGTCATTATCGAGTACCAAAATTCCACAGATGTTCCCTCCAAGAAAAATGACCCTACACCCGCGGAAAGTAGCATACCCGTAGAAGTCTACGACCCAAATAGCACGACTGTTCCCGCACTAGTGGATTTGGAAGTCCCCGTAGAAGTTTACGACCCCACTTCGACTACCGTACCCGCTTATGTACCCGTAGAAGTCGAGGTGTTCGACCCGACCTCCACTGAAATTCCCGTGATTATCGATCACAATACTCCGGAGGTTAAAAATGAAGCCGCAGCTGAGGGAAAACCCGCTGAAGCTGAGAAACCGGCAGAAACACAAAAGTCAACTGTAGGAAATCAAACAAATGAGAAATCAAAGGAGGATGAAGGATTTGATATTAGTAAGTGTTTTTGATATGTTGTAAATTTTTTATTGAATATTGATTTTTATCGTAATAGCTAAGCGCAAATATTTTTCTTGTAAAAATTGTTTTTGTATGCCATTTCACCAGTTTTCTGTCCCAGTATTTTCTGTTTATACACACAAAATCCTGAAAGAAATTGTCTTGGCATCTCAAAATTATTTTTTACATTTCCTTATTTTCTTCTTCCTTGAATCGAAAGTTGTGGAGAAATGTGGCTTTTTAAACTGAAATAGCAGAAAATTTTACCATTTTTGCAAATAATGCTATCCGAAACTTTCTTTGCATCTTTTTATTTTTTTTTGTTCTCGAATCAAGATTCGCGATACGAAAATAAATATCCGTATAAAAATCAACGACTGTTTCAGAATTTGAACAATCTATAAAGCCGATCAATTTTCCTCTTAATTTCGGAACAAAAAACCAGGAAAACTTATTCTCACAATTTTGCAGTTCTGTTCATATTTGAACATAAACAACTCTTTCAAAACACTCCTTTGAACACTTGTTTAGAAATATGATACTCCATGTTTGAGAGCAACCTCACTTTTCGCGACATATGGTTTTCATTTCGTCGTACCTTCGTTTTCGAGAACGTTTGCATATCGATCCGATGTGATTTCCCATGGAAAAGCTTGAAGGTTTCGGAATTTTATTTTGCGTTTGGCTTATACTGAATTGTTAAGTTGAGAACAAAAATTTGCGTTAAACTTTTTTGCCCTTTATGGTGACTTTGAGAAAATACTCGAAATTCATAGCTTTCTGGCTGTAAATGCAAAGTGAATTATTTTTGAGAAAACTAGAAAAAAATGTTGAGCAGCCAAATCATTGAAGCAATTTTCAGTACCAAAATATTTGTTTTAAAGCAAAAAAAACTCAAATAAACTCCAAAAATTCGTGTTTTAAATTCACCTGACATATCTGAAAACGATTTGTAGATTTCATTGCAAGTGTTTTTCGGGAAATTTTTGAACTGCATAAAAAGTGAAATGCTTGATAATGTAATATCAATTCTTAATAATTCAAAATATCAAATGAAAAATAAAATCTAAGTTTTTTGTACTCAGAAGTCTTCTACATGCACTTTAGGTGCCGCCATATTGCCATCGAATTCTACCTTTTCTGTTCATTTTTCTCTTTGCTGCCTTTAGAAAAACATATTTTCAATTTTACATTTTCGCTGCTAAGTTTGAAAAAAAAACAGAGCAAAATTCATTCTTTTTTCTAAATGTTTTCACTCTGTTCGTGGGCTGTTAACATTAGAACGCGCAAACTTTCGAGTTTTTGATTATTCCTTCCGGATTATTGATTTTTCCCCTATGTATTTTTTTTCATTTTTCACCAACAACTTATCCCACTTTTCCTTATTTTTTTCCTTTATTTATATTCTTATATTCAGCGATAGGCAAACTTTTCTATACAAAATTGTTTAGGTGAATATGAACGCAAACTCAATGATGCAACACAAGGCGCCAAGGAATTGGTGAATAAACTATGTGACAAATCTGAAGCTTTAAATCAGAACGCTCAAAGCATTGCAAATAAGTAAGAGATTATTCTTGGTAATTTTTCTAATTTTTCTACCAAACAGTTGTTTGAACATTCCAACAATTTTTTTTTCGTTGAAGCAAGGCAATTTTTCAGCGTGGCCGATCAAAAACGTTATCTAATCGAGGACGTTCATAAAACTATCGAGGATATCGATCAGATGCCACCACCACCCGAATTACCCACAGGAGGGTGAGTAAACTTTTACCCTAAAGCTTAGCTGACATAGCTCTCATCTCAGCTGACACGATTGGCTGTTTGCACTTAAGAAGAAGCGTCTCTAATGCACGAATAGCTGATTTATCTGATAGTTGTAAAGTAACGGGTGGCTAAACAATCGCAATCGGGGCTTCATGACGTCGCTGCTCTCGGAACACACAGCTGACGCGGCCATGCCATCCGCACACCCCCGTCGCGCCCACATGAGATTGCGGGGAATCTAGCGAAAATTTTGGAAAATGGTAGGGAGGGGAGGGGTGGGGTGTAAAAGGCGGAAGTCCGTTTAAAAAATACTTTCAAGTAATAGCGATGAATATGTACGTTTGTTGGTAGGCGAGGTGCAGGTTAGGCGCGGCTGACCTAAGGCCCCGGACAGACTTCACGCGATTTGATCGTCGCGACTGAATCGCGACGAGACGGGTGGGGGAACGAAAGCCGCCAGCTTCGTTCGCCTGCGCGGACTGCTGGTCCTGGAACGACATGCAACAACGTTGCGAAAGGACCAGTTAGCCGCGAAAGGCGGCTCAAACTGGCGGCTTTCGTTCCCCCACCCCGACGAGACAACAGTTACAACATCATTCCATGTCGATCAACTTGCATTTCGGTCGTGATACTTTTCCAGCCCGAAATTTTTGAATGTGAAATGAAAATGAATGGAAATGTCGGCGATTGAGTCGCGACGATCAAATCGCGTGAAGTCTGTCCGGGGCCTAAGGGGGCGTGGGAGGGGCCAATACTGTCGCGTAGTTCTCTCGTCAAACAGACTGTATGAGTTATAAAATACAGCTGATGTATTTTACTTGCAAATGATTAAAACAATTCTGAACATTTTGAGAGTTTGGCCCCTCGCCACGCCCCTTTTTCCAAATTTTCACGGCAAGGGAAAAACATCGACAAAATTTTCTGTGGTTGTCGCTAACCTCATGTTTTGCCATTCGCAGATAAATCCCCTCCCCCCACCCTCCAGGAAAAGGAGCACCTCCAATTAAACGTATGTAAGCGTGACGGGTGTAAATTTTTGTACAAAATGTCCTCCCCCCCCCCCTCTCTGGTGCCGAAATATGCAGGAGTGAAAAAGTTGAAAAAAAATGTTTGCTATATCCTAATCTAAGTTTTCCATTTTTTAATATTATGCCCATGAAATGAAACAATCAAGTGGAACAGAATTTTTAAGCAGAAAAGATCAAATAACATTCAGAAATATTCTTCTCTTTCTCAGGCTACCCAAAACCGTCGAAAGCATTATTATTGGCCAAGGTGTCGTGACAGATGTAACTGGATGCATTGTCTTGCCAAATGGAACAATTCTTGCAACTGATGAGAAAGAGGGTTTGATCCTCTTTGACACACAAGGAAATGTTTTAAGAAAGGTCAGTCATAATAAATTCAATAAATTTGGAGAATCTGCTTTTTTTTCGAACTTCGTCTCTTTCTTTTGAGCTCCCAACAGATGACAAATATTCTAGTACTTTTTCTGATTAATTTCCTGGATTTGTCCAGGGCGTTCAGAGTGCTTGAAAACGCAAATATAAGCTCACTAGCTGGCTTACCCGGCTCCGCCGTATGTTCCGAATAGAAAATTCCATTTCTGAACCGATCCGGACCAAACTTGGCACACATACACTTCGGGCCCCGGCGGGTGTCATAGGCTACTTTTCGTTATCGATCGATGTCAATTTTATCGATTTTTTGCAAAATTTGAGCTAGGGGGCTGGAATTTGGCAGGGGGGTGTAATCGAGCATGCTGATCACCCCCGTGGGGGTGATCAGCATGCTCGATTACACCCCCCTGCCAACTCCCAGCCCTGTAGCTCAAATTTTGCAAAAAATCGATAAAATCAATATCGATCGATGACGAAAAGTAGCCTATGACACCCGCCGGGGCCCGAAGTGTATGTGTGCCAAGTTTGGTCCCGATCGGTTCAGAAATGGAATTTTCTATTCGGAACATACGTACAGACAGACAGACATACAGACAGACAGACAAACAGACATTCAGCTTTATATATAAGATGAATCTTCTTCAACAAAGTACATGCTTGTCTCTATTCCCAGCTGTAAAGCATCTGGCATGAGAGTGTTCAGAGTTTTGAGGTATGAAAAAATGCATGTAACAATTTATTGTTAGATCCCTCACATGATCCATGGAAAAGATTTCCTCTCAGTCGCAAAGCAGCAACTGATCTGCAGTATGGAACTTATTGTTTTTATTTAACATAAGAATATAAACAGATACGAAATTCACAGAATTTCAAAGCTGGCTTCAGAATTCAGCGAAAAAAAATGCTTTTTAGGAAAATCCAGGCATTCATTTCTCACTTTTGGTGACAGAAACGTTTTGAACTTCATAAAAAAAGGTTCACTAAAGTAACCAAACAAAACTTCATAAATTTACAAAAATAACAAATAAGTACAAGTAAGTACATGATTCTATTCCTTCCTTACTGAGAAGTTCCGGGGAAGACCTAGAACTCATTTCAAACTCCGTCTAGGAAGGAACGAAACGGAGTGATAATGTTTAGTGTTGTCACAAAATATCTGAAATATCTTCAGTTTTAGCTATGGTTACACTTCAGAAGAGTTATCATTTCAATTTTATTACTAGTTCATTCATTTAGTCGAAAATTCTGAGTTTGCTTCATTATAAAAACTTTCTTGGGCTTAAAGAAATACTGTCGCCCTTTCCCCGTTTCTAGGAAATATTTTTTTGCGATCGCCATATTAAGTAAATTGATTGAGAAAATTTTTTTGGAAAAGGTCATTGTTTTAGGCACTGTTATAGTTTTTGGTGTACTTTGAATCCAATACCTTTTATTTCAGGTCAACAACTCTGGCTGGAGGAAGCCAAGAAGTCCTGTTTATCACAAAGAGCATATTTTGGTTAGTGTTCTTTGGTCATATCTTTTTCTCGGGAAAATTTTCGAGCTTTCCCGGGCACCGTTAAGTGTCAAAACGATTAATTTCATGGTTTTGCCTTTTTTTCTCTTTAAAGCTGCAATTGTCGTTTTTTATTAGCCATAGACACACCATTACTCAAGACATTCGTTCGTGCTGTAACCGCATTCACATGATCAACCCCACCCTATTTTTTGTCCCTTCACTTCTCGATGACAAAAGCTCTCAAGATCCTCTACGTGCATTTAGGATCTCACACACCCGTCCAAATTCATTTTTTTAGATGTTGATCGATATGCAGGAAGATGGCGTATGGACTCGGTACATATTCAAATTTACAGTCGATGTCCAGTTTGTGGCCAAAATTGAAGGTATGAAAAGCTTCATCAAAATTTACGGGGTGAATACTGACAGCCAAAAATTCAGGTCCGAAATGGATTAGAGACGAGAAAACAGTGATTAGTGAGCGACTTAGCATCGCACACACTGACTACCTATATTTAAGCATTTGTGGAGAGGTAAGATCGCAGCTTTTTTAAAACATTTTCATGGCAAAAGAAAGTCTCTCAATAGAATATCGCTGTCTTATAGTTATTTTTTCTCCCTATTGTGGCTTTTAAAAAATGACAATTCACTAAAAAAACAGAGCGTAGGATATCAAGCGAAAATGACAGAATTCAAACCCAACAAGAGTAAGTTTGATGAAAAATGTATGCATATTTCTTTCAGTAAATAAATTGGATAGCGTCATAGATTTTGTGTAAAACTCTTTAAAAGCGTAGTAGTCGCCCTCCCCCCCCCCCCCCCTTCACTGCGAATTTAAAAGATGACAGGCCTAATAAACCTCCAAAAACATTAAAAGACTATTCCCCCCCCCCCCTCCTGAAACTGAAATTTCTGCAACCTCCACGCAAGGTTAATCAACGTCGATTTAGCAAAAGCCCAATTATGAAAAAAAATTCATGAGACTAAGCATCTCTTTTTCAAAATATTAAGCGACTTACACATTTTGAAGATCAAAATCTTGTAAGGCTTTTGGAGAAAAATGAGAAGTGTAAGCGGTTTAGAGGTCAAATTTACGCCTCATTTTGGTACTGGGCTTGTTCGTGCACTACAAATATTTATTCAAATAGTGCACAACGAGAACGATTCTCAAAGATGAATGTTTTTGAGAATTATAATGTCCATTGCCTTGACAGTTTATGATTTTGAAGTGTCATATACTTCAGATTTTCTCCGCTCTTTACGAGTTGACCCCAGTCGGTCAATGGACCGAATTACTATACCGCCTATCGGAAAGTTATGTAGACATGCTTGCTTTTGCCGTGATAGGACCAATTACACAAGTATTGATAGTCGAAGGTGAGTAAACAGTTTTTGGAACCATAATTCACATATTATAGAAGTTCCAGGGCGCAAAAATTATGTACTACAAATGTCGATACGTGAATCGGATGTGGTCAGTCGACATCGTTTAGCTGTATGTGAGCGACCTGGAGCTATGGCTAGGGATGAAGCAGGTAAAGATTTAGGACTCTAAGAAACATTTTACTTCCACAATATATAGGTCTTGAATCTTCCTAATATCATCCTGTAACGTGTGAGAGCTCCGCCCCCTGAAGGCTAGCTCCGCCCACGCCAGCAGGCCCCTTTGGGAAGGGAGAAGGGAGCAGGGATAGGAAGGTTCCTAAATAAGAAAGCGCAAAAAATCTAGCTAACCAGATCGACATGCAAAAGCGTTCTAAATTACGCAGACCCAAATATGATGTGCATGGGCGGGGCATGCATCGTGGGCGGAGTTAAGCTCCTCTGCTATTGGCGATTGCAAGAGTTAACGTAAAAAATAAAAGAGATGACTGCCTCAGACGCAATCATATCAAGTGATTTTTATGCGCTTGTACTCCTAGACCGTGCTGCCGTATGGGCGGGGTTAGCCATTAAGGGGCGGAGTTTACACTCGCACGCTTATTGGATGGTTGGAAAAGGTTGAAAACAGGGAAAAAATGCAGGATGCCTCGAAGGAACTTTTTCTAGTTTCATTTTCCCTTCCAGGACGTCTATTCGTCGCAAATCGCTCCACTGCAACCATTCAACTCGTCGACACTGTACGATGGAGCTGTGCTCGAAATGTTGCGCTAACCGACTCGATGGTCCCACATTTCTCCGCATCATGGGGATTGTTGGCCATACCATTAAAGGGTGCTATTCGTCTACATCGGTATTCATTTCGATTCGGTAAATGAGATTGTAAATAGAATCAGCAATAAATAATTTATGAATAAAAAAGACATTCTCTAGATGCATTTGTGTGTGTGTCATAAAAAACAAGAGAGCACTAAAGTGAATCAAGAGATTCTGAAAATGTGAGTCATTGCCGAGAGAAAACACATTGAAGAGAAGATTTTCGTGGAATAAAGAAAGCAGAGGAAATTTCAGGCGAGGCTTGATGATTGGAGATGTAAGCGTAGGCGATTTAAAAAAAGAAAATCACACAATATGACATTAAAAATGAACGCGAAAGAGCAGAATTCGAAGAAACTCAAAGGTATTTGAGAGAAAATATAAGTTACATATCAATAAAAAAGATGAGCGATTCGAGAGTGGAGGCCGGTAAGGCAAAGAGGACACGTGACGCTGGACTGATGGAACGCAGCGCAACGCGCAACGTGTCGGCGTTAGCACTATGACTGATAGGAAAAAGTATGGACGACTGACATGTGACTAGGCGGACAAACTATGATATTAAATATGATTATTATCGACTATTTGAAGGAGGGGGAGGGGGGTCAAATGGATGCATGAAACTGACCGGCGCCTATATGGATAAAAATCGGAACCTAAAGCAGAGAAAAAGGCATTCGTAACAACAATCTTTGTACTTCAAAGGGTTGCGCTTAAGTTTGACACAGACAGAGACATTTGGCCTATCGAGAGCACTGAACAAGTAAAGAATGCATTTTACACATATGAAAAATTCAACTCGAAATAAGCTCATAGAACGAGATTATTCTTCCTCTAGTACAGATATCATAATATCTGCTGCATGACGAAGGCGGTTGCCCAAATAGGTTGAAGGCTGTTGCGCACGCGGCGCGCGGGCAATTGTCAACCACCGGGCGCGCGTACGCTCGGTCAGCGCGCGCGCAGCTCCAGTGGATGACCGCTGACAGAGCGTGCGCGCGCCCGGTGGTTGACAATTGCCCGCGCGCCGCGTGCGCGACAGCCTTCAACCTATTTGGGCAACCGCCTTCGTCATGCAGCAGATATTACTTATTAACTGATTGTCAGTTACTTTATACTTGATGACGTCCCAGCGTCAGTGAGAAACGAAAAGCGGCGAGAGCACGTAGACATCCAATTGCAGTCTGCATGGTCATTTTGGTCCTGAGCAGAAATTGCAGATGTCAGATGCTGCTGAGGCTCGGTAGCTCGGGTGCAGGTTCAACAAGAGGTCTCTCTACAGAAAGACTCGTGCCTTTGCGACCGCTGCGCCGGCTCTCGCGGCGTATTTCCATATCTTTCTCTCGTAACTCGGAAATCGCGGACTGTAAAGCAAAAGCTAAGCCAAGAAAAGGCACATAGAAGTAAAAATTAAATTAAAAAAGGCGTTACGAAGAAATTTAACGTTATCCTCCAACCATAAAAAGTAACCAAAACTAACCAGCAACCGCTTAGCATGCCCAATCTTGTGCACACCCAAATCTGTCATATCTGTCTGTGTTAGGTGAATAAGTTCATGACCACGAATCTCATTGGCTTTGAATTGACTTGCATACTGTGACAGACCCAGAGATCCCAACCAGTTAGATACATCTTCCAGCGACCATGTGGTTACTAAAGAGAAGAAATATACAGAAAGAGAGGAGAAGCATAGCGTTATTTACAGAAAATAGCAAAATTGTTAACCTAAATATAAGCTCTGGCACGCAAAAGAATAAAAAAGAGATTTTAAATCGATTTGGTGTATAGGTGAATCATTGCGCGCAAAGGCTGGACGCGATTGCGTCCGACAAAAATAGTTGTGTTTTTAAGAGAAAGCAGATAAGGCCGCGTCCAGAGTCCCCCGTGTACGAGCACCGTTCCTGCGCCGTGTGCCAAAGCCTGCCGGAATCTAAGTAAACATGCCCGCATTAATCGAATTTAGACACGTCGCCAGGTCGGCGCTGGAACGGCGCTGGCACGGACAACTATGAACGCCTAAACGAGATGAAAATGCACTTGATGCTGAAAGTGTCTGCAATGGCGGCCTGTCTGTGCGATGACTCGTCTTATCTTAGGTGGGTAGAGGAACGAATACCTCAATTAGGCACCTCCCTCGCGGACTACTGGTCCTCACACGATATACAACAGCAAAGCTAAGGGACCAGCAGTCCTCGGGGGAGGGGGCGGGCTAACTGAGGTATTCGATCGTTTACCTATCTTAGGTTACCAATCAAAAAGTGAAGCATAGAAAAGGAAAAAAGCGATTGGAAAGAAGGCAGAAAAATCATCTCATGCAGTTTACAGAAGCTTTGAAGTCGAAGAAAATACTTACCATGTGTTGACGGTGCTCCTGTTCGTCGTTTCCATTTTCGTGTAATCCAATCAGTGAAACGACTCCTTTTCCGATGCCCACTATCTACCGCTCGTAACTCTTTCAGCGCACCTTCTTCACGGCTGATCTCTTGGCGTATACTGCAGAGAACGTAACGCCAATGCTCTGGCTCATCACCCTAAACGAATCTGTTTACTTCCAGCTCAATAGTCCCCCAAGAAGGGTTTTGGAAACATTTCACATAACAGGCTGTTAAGAGCTTGTAAACAAGCTGCTCGAATTACTCTCATGTTCCATTAACGCGCGGCAAAGCACTTTGAATATCCAATGAATATGTTAGACTACGCCAAGCTCCCGCGCAGATATTTGGCACAAATCAAGCATCTTTATACGTTGTAAATGCTAGTTATCTGCGCAGTTGAAGCATATCGGCGATGGAACGGAACGTTTTCTACCTATCTTCACCCAGTACAATAACAAATCTGTACCATCCATAAAATTCAAAAAAAGTTCGATGAATCGAACAGAAAATTGGATCAACTATAGAAAGTGACCAAATATATGCCTCGCATCTTCTTACCCATCCAGGCTGCAAAGAAATTTCCCAAAAGATGCTGCGAGCAATGATTGAGGTGCGCACTCATAAGCACATTCTCAAATGAACTCAGCCTTCGCCAAAGTGGGTCGAAAAAAAACAGCTAGAACCTTAATGAGAAAGGAAACGCAGAAATTTCGCCCGAAAAAAAGTTCAAGAGAAAAAGCACATGCATCAGACAAATTGAAGAATGCATGCACATCATAGTCAGCGGAAATTCAATATTAGTCAAACAAAATTCGAGCAAACCAGAGACATAACATTAAAAAAACAGACTAGAAGAGCTCGTCAAACGATGCAGAACCAAAAATTATGGACTACCGTAATCTTCCGCCCAGTTTACGCAAGCAAAGCTTTCCAATCTAGCATAATACTTACATGCACTTCAAAGTTGAATACTGGGGCGGGTCCAAGGCGGGGTTGGCCCGCGGGCACTCTGGTATGTTCCGTCCATCCGAAGTGATCTTCCAGTCTATCTGCAACCATCTCTATAGCAGCTAACGCCTCTTCACGGAGATCTTGACCTTTGGGACTATCGTAGTCAGGCTGAAAAAAGGGGCATGAATTTTATATTTCAGGGTAATCTCACCGTAAAAGAAAAAACTTGCACTAAGTATCTAATTAGCACTTGTAAGTTAGTAAGTTAGTAAGAGGAATAGATAATTGAGCCGGAGCACGAAAAAAATAAAAGATTAAAAGCCCACAAAATGATTTTCGATGCCTTTTACGAAGAAAATTACAACATGTGAATGACTCAATGCAAATCTCATGAGAATTCACTTTTTCCAAGCTTTTTTTATAATTATTTTTTTCTTTCTTTTTATATTTTTTATATTCTTTCTATTTTCTTATATATCCATCTATTGTCAGTCTTTTTGAACAAAAGCGCATGCACTTAGAGAAAGTGGCCGAATTTTTTACTATAAAAGGGCATTGCAATCCTCTGGGGTCATTTCTACGGCAGATAGTGTATAGCCTGGTTGTTTTTCCCAAGTGAACGACTTGTCATTTTCGCTTTGTCTGAGAGCATTTCGGAGGTCTTCGGAGAACTCTTCAGAAAAAAATCTTTGCTATTTTCATTCAAGTTGGCAGGAAATATTTTCATGGGCAACTTGGACCCGTCATTTTATAACAGCTCATTTCTTCATCGTCCTTTGAAGATCTACTTTAATCACTCAAAATGTTCTCATGCATATAAGTGTTGGCTGCTCAAGGGAAACTTGAATAACAACTCAACAGTAGACGTAGTTGAGAGTGAATAATTCACAGCCTAAAGTATTTCTCTAGTTTCTTTCTCACCATGGATGCTAAAAAACTTCTCTATTTTGATATAACAATGAGATTTCTTTTACTATTTCAAAATGCAAAAGATTTAACTCAGAAAAAACATATAAGATAGCAGTATAAAGCTCCTCCTAGCAATTCCAAAAAAATCCCAATCTGGATGGTGCTTCAAAGTCCTCTTCTCTTGCAAATTATTAGATTATCAGCATATGTGAGGTTTGCTGCAGAGTCCTAAGAAATATCCTATCCACCTCCTTCTTCAAATTCAATTTGCTCAAGACAGAACTTGTTGAAGTTTTTCTCTTGATTACGTTTTCGAAATTCAATTTTCATTGCCAGGCTTTACATTCCCAGGACTGGGAATGAAAGCTAGACTGATGCATTCTGTTTTCAGTGTCCCATTTGTGTTTTAAAGACTTTTTTGAGAAAGACCCATGCGCGTGATTTGCAATTCGCTATAAAAAAAAAACCTCAAATGTTTTCATTATCGCAACCAGCTGATCGCCTTACGGCCCATTAAGCCATCTGAATACCTAGAATTGTTATAAAGATGATACTCTGGGCTTTCAATCAAGCCATTAGCCAAGCGGCAGGTCATAAGATTCAAACATGGCCGAAAATTTCAACTCTTAACTCTCGCCCAAACCGTACTCTTTCTGGAGAGACTACGGTCTGGGGAAGAACTGAAATTTGAGAATCTCGGCTGACAATGAATTATACGAGCTGCCGCTTGCGCAATGGCTTGTGAGAGGGGCTCCTAGTTATCACATAAGAAACCTAGGCCAGATTTATTCAAACACTGCGAAAATATGGCACACGATTGCCGAAAACTTGGTGCTCGATTATTCTACATTTTTTATGTTGTTTACGCTAATCACAACCAAAACGACTACTTCACATCTTTCAGCTCACTCTCTCTCCCACTCTCTCGAAGCTTAAGCGTCTTTAACCTCATTAACGTATTCATTGCGCCAGCACATCGGGCGCAAAAACCACGCCAGTATTCAACGCCTTATTGCCGGAAGTCAATTCCTTATATGTGCATATGCTGCAGTTGATTCGCTTTCACTCTCTTCTCACGAAAAAATTTTGACGTTGGCGGCAGCGCTTAAGTGGTTCCCTAGAGGCAAAAGCCCCGAAGTCGTGATATAACCATTCATCTTGCGAAGGTAATGACCGGTTCCGAACTAGAATCAGCTGACAACTGACATTCAAACAATGCTGCTGGCCTCGTCTGCCAGTTATATTTTCATCTGCATTAACATTTTTGTCGATTTTAAATTGTTATTCACAAAATCACAATTTTTACTCGTGGAAATGAGGAATGTCTTTGAATTTAATTGTTTACGAAAAAATAACACTGAAGTTTCTGATTGAGCGGTAGCTGTTCCATTCCCGATAATTTAGTTCAGAAGCGTTTCGCACAGCAGCAAGCGCCAAGGCGCAAAGTATAAATCATTTTAGGACGACAAAGCCAAATGGCAACAGTGGCGTACTAAACGGAGGACATTTGTGTTTTGGCGTCGCGCAAGAAGAATAACGGTCCTCCTTTCTTATAAGAAAATTTAGCATGCTACATTATCTGCTGTTGGCCATTATTCTCATTTGTTGTTAATATGCATAATTCTATAATGCGCTTACGTGACACCAAAGGCCAAAGGTCCGCCATTTAGTCGCGCCTCGCGCCACTCTTGCACGATAGGTTCGAAGTTTACAGGTCAAGTATGAGGGCCGTCATAGTAACGAGAAAGTCTCTTGTTGAGAAAGTTTCTTTTCAATTTTAACACCTCAAAAAACGTTATTTCCATTTTGACCCCATTCTTGGGAGCAAAAACTTCTTACTTTTTGACCTTGTACAAAAATTTTTCTCCCCCCCCCCCCTCCCTTATTCTTCGATTGTGTACGACTATCAGCTATAGCTATTAGTCAGCGTTCAACATGTCTCAAGCACATTCTCATCCTTCAAGTGCTACAATTTGCCACCACTAAACTGCCTCGTTTGCAAACAAAAGCAGCAATGAAAAACCGCGCCCCACGCAGAATTGGCAATGCAGACGTTTTTTGAGCTGAATGCATACAAATCCATGGCATTTCGGAATTCCACCTCTTTTCCTATATTTGGGCATTGTAGCGTTCCAGAACACATTAAGCAAAAAGTGGGTAGATCAGGAAAACGCTCTTGTTTTCCTATAAATGACTAGTAGAAAACAAAGAACAAAAATGCTCACCTCACAGTCAAACAGTTTTTTTATGGTGCAATTGCACATTTTCAAGGAGAATTGGCCATTTTGTGTTTTTTATCTCTTTGTTGTTTACACAGAGTTGTGGTTCGGCTGCTGGATAATAAAAAGCTGCTCTAAGCTGCAGCTATTTAAGAAAGCGTGAACAATATTGCCAACATTATGAAAGTGTGCAAATACACACCTTAGTGATGAAACCTACTCGACTGTAAGCGCAATAACAAATGAACTATTGACTTCAAAAATTTTCTTCCTCTTCTCTTTTCGTGCCTCTTATCTCATGTTATCTTATGTGGTCAGATACCGTAACTCAAAAGCTGTAACTCAGAAAGGATTCCATGAATCTATGAATCTTTCACGTCTACAATCGCGACCTACCAAAGGTAGAGGCTGAAGTGTCAGCGAAAGGGGTAGTCCCGCGCGGACATTTGCTGCAAACCAAGCACTCTTTGCAATATAGGGCTCGTGTCAGCTGTCCGTGCACGTGGTGCCTTTGTGCGACATATCGTCCTCTGCCCGTTCTACTAATCCGATCTGTACAGACTCAACACTTTAGGACTCAACACAGACCCTTATCAATGGATATACTTGACACTCGCATCGATTTCCCACAACGATTTACCTTTCTTCCTACGGAAAATGACAGAACTCGCATGCAAAGGTATGTGATCCAGTGAAAAATCCTAGCCCTTAACTTGACTTTTACAGCACCACAAACTCTACCGTAATAGCTCGGTACTTCCTGCTAGCTGAGTTCGCGATTTCATTCAGCTTCAACATCGCTCTGCTCTTTGCGATTTGGCATGGCCATTATCTCTCGCTACTGCTTTGCATAATCACCACCATGAATTGCACAGCGGCTGCAATTCTCCTAACGAGGAAACGACCACTCAAAAGCGCATCTCCAATCGCTGTTTTTGTCATATGGAAGGTTTTCCAAGAAATCGTACTGGTTCCAGTGCTTGTGGTTTTCACATTTCTTATGTTTGAGGTGGGTCTCAAAAAATGATTTGGACGCAAGAAAAGTTTTGAAGGCCTTTTCAACTGATCGCAAAAATAAAAAATCACAAATCTTATATATAAAGCTGAATGTCTGTCTGTATGTCTGTCTGTATGTATGTATGTCTGTCTGTACGTATGTGCGGAATAGAAATTTTTATTTCTGAACCGATCGGGACCAAACTTGGCACACATATACTTCGGGGCAGGGAGCGTGTCATAGGCTACTTTTCGTTATCGATCGATATCGATTTTATCGATTTTTTGCAAAATTTGAGCTAGGGGGCTGGGATTTTGCACAGGGGGGTAATCGAACATGCTGATCACCCCCGTGGGGGTGATCAGCATGTTCGATTACCCCCTGTGCAAAATCCCAGCCCCGTAGCTCAAAATTTGCAAAAAATCGGTGAAATCGACATCGATCGATAACGAAAAGTGGACTATGACACGCTCCCTGTCCCGAAGTGTATGTGTGCAAAGTTTGGCCCCGGGCGGAGCCGGGTTTGCCATCTAGTTTTGCTATTCAGAGCCGTGCGGCTACTACCCGCTCAGGCATTATTACAGCCATTTAACATGACAGACTTAAAAGTAAAAAGCTACGTGGTATATGATTTTGTATTGTACCGTACGGCTACCGTAACCCTCCTAAAATGATCATCCTGTGAAACAGCTACGATATTCGGCATCAGCAGCAAACAACTTTTTTTTTTCAGCAAAATGCGTGATTTTGATTTTCAAGTTCATCAAGTGAGAAGGAACTGGAGTACGATAGAATTGACAAATTAGCAGCGTGATAAAAGCTTTGGATAATTTGTTTCAGAATTTGCCAAACCAATTACTACAATGTGTAATTACACAAAACGCGATCATTTTACGACTTCATTCCCATTGTTTTGCCATATCTCCAATGTTTGAAGTATACGTTGTGAACAAAAAAAGCAAAAAATAGAAAGAAATATCTCATGCAGATTTCAATCACCAAATTAGATTTCCCCAAATGCTGGGATTCCCTAACCCACTCGATCATTATCTTTACGACACCATTGCCTTGAAGATAAGATCGCGACGGGAAGTTTCATGCAAAACGTTGGTGCAAAGCGATTACTCTACAAAAAACTTGTCGTAGATGTGACGAGATACAAGGAAAGTGAAGATGACGAAGATATGCTTTACACATTGACCAAGTATTACTCTCTATATCGCTTTTAGACTATAGAAAAGGCTCAAAGGTTTGATACGTTTTGGGAAATGAAAACCAAAAATCATTTTCTTGATAACAGCCATAAAAGACTTGTAATTCCTATAACTGAAAGTAAAAAATGGCGTTGTTAAGAATGATTGCTACTATATCAACCAAAATCCAGAAAAAAATACTGATCCAAAGTTTTTAGAAAAAAAATTTTGTTTTTCGCAAATTGGACATTTTTCAGACTACTTCCAATTTTTTTGCAAGTCAGTAATTTTTAAATATATCTTTTCATTACAACATGATCCCGTAACTCATCCACATTTGGGAGGCTAAAGAGGCGCAATGAATCATAATGTAATGTGGTTGTTCGCCTACAAAGAAGCGCTTAGGGAAAAGCGTCATTTCTGTGCACAGCACATAATGTCTACACGAGTGCTTTTTCAACATAGCATCGCTTGATGTAACGTCTCAAACACCCGGCAAGAAAGAACGATGAGCCATCCTTTGTGCAGAAGCAAAACATATGGAGCATACATAACCCCGTTTTGCATGAGTTGTCATGAAGATTGCGGAACAAGTGAGCACTTATGAAGATGTGAGCGAGGAAAGCTTGAGAATCGCCACTTCGTCGCCTTTTTTTTGGGGCTGCAAAGTGAAGAGCTCTCGAATAAAGTTCCATGTCTCGAATGTTAGGGGCATGCATGCATTTCCAGAAAAAACGTGGCTAGTACATAACAGCACACGAGGATCACATAAATGAGTGTTTAGCTGAACCAATGTCATTATAGAAATGTTCGCAGTTTTGTATTGGGATTTGAGCCAGCCTCTAGATTAAAAATTGCAATAAACAGTTTTTGATGCGCTTCATACTTCAAAATGCATTTTCTTACAGAGATTCATCGACTCCTGTTTGACCCCACTGGTGGCTTACGGGGTCTTAGCAGTTGTGTGGCTCTATGCAATTTATTCTATTGCAGCTATATTATTCTTAGGTAGGTATGCAGAAGGACAAGCTTGAAAGTGATATCCAATTTCGCTTCAGGACAATTTGCAAGGACTCTGTGGAAAAATAAAGCCTTGAAGCGGAGATGCTCGTTCAGTAGCATCTCCACTATAACACGCACATTTGACCTTACAACCGACCCAGAGGCACCATCCACCTCATCACATCGGTTAGGAACAAATACGTAAAGGTAAGCATTCAGATATCTCCACAAACGTTAAGCAAACAAAAGCATTAGAAAAGTCAGAAAGGCAAGATGAAAACATGAAAAAAATTGGAAAAATCGTATAAACGTAGAAGAATTTTGATTTTTTCAGTCTCACCTCATTCTCTGCTTCTCGTACAGAGCTTGCAGCTTTGTCCAGTGCCTTCAGAAGAGCATCGCTCACGCCAAGTTGAGCGATTTCACTCTCGATCAGCTCCACGAATTCGGTCGCACGTCGGACGAAAGGCACATCTTCACCAGGCATGCCGGGTGCCGTCACTGATGTTGGCGTAGATGGCGCCGTATTGCGTTCTTTTTGCTCTTCCCATTTCTTCAAGGTTGCATCGAAGGCCTAAGGGACAAAATATGACTAAAACAGGTAAACGCAATGGAAAAATCTGCAAAAAGCTATTAAAGATAATAAACTACTTACAGCGTTTCGTACCAGCAGCTGGGCGCGATTTTTATGAACAATCTGCATAATTCCAGGCGGTTGAAGCCAAGGTTCACCATCGACCTGACGACATATCAATGAATTACAAGAAAAACTTTTTTGTGATTGAAAAAGAAAACATAAATATATGGATGGAGATGATACCTGTACTGGGATGGGATCGTTACCCATAATTACAATTCGAATATGTCGACACTGAGCAATGCGATGATTTTGCAAACGCACAACATTTGGCACACGACTTGTGGCAACATGGATCACACCAAATAATGCCACAACCTAATGACAGATATTTATGCACAGGAAAAAATAAGTAAATAGGATATACCTACAGATTAATGAAATAAGAATGTGAAAAATACCAACCTCCAGTAACCGATCGTCAAAGCTCTGTATGTTGTATCCATCATCTTTGGCACTACCCCAAAAATTGGCGCCACCAGAATAAGAAGGAATGTTCAATATCACAATGCCTAGAAAGACTGTACATAAAACTCTTCGAAACATAAATTTCTGTTCTTTTCCATCGATCATCTTTTCTAGCTGATTATAATTTTCGTCCTCACCAACCAGGAAAAAATTTAAAAAAATCCATTTCACACTCAATTTTAATTCACATGAGCACTCCATACAGTCCCTACCACTTTTAGATCCCCCTCTCCCCGATGAGAATGCTGCAGAAGAACGTAGCCTATTAGTGGTAACACGAATGCATACAAATTAGCTAATTAGCATTAATGGTGGATGAACTCAGCGTAAAAATTAACGTCACTAATTTCAATTAATTCCCAACATTAATCTAAGGTCCATTATTTTCTCCAAAATAGCTCCGAATAGTGTATTCATTAAAGTAGACAAAAGGATATAAGGCGTACCTTGAAGGGAAGGAAGATCAATCAGTTTGCCATCGCACTCTAACCGTATCCGCTGATCTAAGTTACGATACGTTCGATGCATCAACTCTTTGCCACCCAGAATACCGTACCACATAAACAGGCGCGAGCGGCTTCGGGTCTATAAGAAAAACTCAAGTCAAGTCGTCCTATCAGAGCAAAAAATTCCCACCTTATCTGACTCTTCTCTTTTATTATGAAACTCTAAGGCGATTTTTGCATCCAGACCAATCCCAAAATAATTGTTCATCACTTTTAATTCCTTGTACTGGTCTCTATAAAACAGTCTTTGAAAACAAAAACAGAGAAATCGGTGAAAACTTACAAAGGTGTATGGCACTCCTTTGGACTTACTCCCAAACCGCAAACACGAGCATTTAACAAAAGCACCTCGGCAATTAGAGATCCACCAGCTAAACCCGTCGACAGCAAACCTCTGCAATTTATTCGCATAAAAAAAGACGTTTCCCAACAAGCAATTAGCATTTAATAGCATAGCTCACAGGTTGGAAAGAAGACCTAGGAGAATTTTATGATAAAACTGCTTACATGTAGTATTACATACAAAAAAGTATAGCTTGTACTTATACATGTGTAAGGGGTAATTTCCACGCATGTGGGTGGAGGGTCTATTGTGGGCGGAGTTTGTCATTTTCGACTTCACTTTTAGGTATATAACATGCCCGCATGCCCGCATGTAAGCAATCAAAGGTCAAGTTTTCTGGTGAAGTTTTGCGGTGTAAGTCACAAAAAATGTGCGTGTCATGCTAATTTTGGAGGGCTCCCAAGCTGACCCGCCACATGCGAAGAAACGTTACCAGATGCTAAAGAATATTGTACAAAAAAGTAGTTCTCTCCAACCTGATATAAAGTAGGATAACCGATTTGCCGTTCTTTAGCAATTGTTCTCAGATATCAAGCAACAAAAAGTGTTAATAAAAACCCAACTGCAACTGATTTTTTGCAAAAGAATGATATAACGAAAATTAAGATTTTGGAATGACTCACTGCAGCAAATCCGACATGGCGTAACAACATGGCATAAAAATGTAGCTGAGCAAAGAAAATTTTTTTATTTCATGGATAGACAAATAAAGCCAAATGCCTTCAAATTAACGCTACAGCCACTGCGATCCCATGGTTGCGCATAATCCCTAGGATCTCAATGCTCACCCTTTCATTAGCGACAACAAGTTTTATACTCTCCCCTTCCCCCTTCTCCCCAAAGCTCGCATAGACAGCATGGATTTGGCATGCAGATACAAGGCTATGAATTCCGTATCGCAAAGAGGAGCTTGTACAAATTCTAAGATTCTAAGATCCCCCAGAAAGATCACAACGCGACGCAGCGAAAGAAATGACGCCTGTATCATGACTTCAAGCCTTGATAGGCTGCTTTCAAAAGGAACGCAAATATATGAGAAATAAGCAAAAAAAAGAGAAAATTACATTGAAATCCGCTGACCTTTTCACATTTGGCAGAGTGTCCAACTTTTTGCAATGTTTCAATCGTGGACGACTATATGTGCAATCTTGGGCGCGTGAACACGTTGAACCTTCTGAACGACGGTACATAACAACCATCCAAAAATAGAAACTTTGAGGGTAAAAATCGTTTGCTAACCATAGATACTGCTATCCGAATGGCTTAGTTTGATATCTGACGTTGTTCTTACATCGCCAGCAAACAGTTCACATTCTGAAGAAGGTTTGAATAACCTTTCCGAGGCTGATTCATGAGCGTGATCGGAGTCATCAACTGGTGGTCGATCTGGCTCACCAGCGGTTGATGGCTCTCGCGTACCGCCAGGTGTTGGTGGCTCGACTCGTCCAATGCTACAAACGAAGCTATTATCCACTGGATCCACTGACCAAATGGGGTATCCACAACAAAAACTGAAAATTAATCGCTGAGAGAACTTCTCTTCATAGCAATTGTTTTCTGATCAAAGATTAGAGATGACTGGAAATAAATCACAGCCTAGCTGATTAAAAAGTAGTGCTGGCTACTGGTTATTACGTACATAAAAAAGCAAGAACAACAAAAAACACATAAATCAAGATCAGAATCACAATTTTCAAATATTTCTTCTGGTCTTCGCTAAACAAGGACAATGAACTGGGTGAGACAACAAAGTACAACCAAAGCGTGCAACAAATTGTGAAGAAGCACATTGCCTTCACACTGTTATAATATGTGATGGGGAATACTGATGCCAAAACGTGATAAAAAAGCTTTAAAAAATATCAAAGCACATAAAACGCACCATGGACTCCTTTCTATTGTAGTAGCCTCCTTCGAGTCGCTTTCACCTCGATCACTATAACCATTTGGTAGAGGTGATGGTGTCTCTTGCGCTATATCACATGTATCACCCGTTGAAAAACCTGGATTCGATGACTGCGATGGTGAAACTCCTAAAAAAAGAAAACTTTGAAATAAGGGGTATATCAACACTTATATTTTGTGTAAACCCACCAATTCCGCTTGTTTGACTCATTTGACTGGCAGTGTCTCTTACAGTAAGTCGATCAAGATGACGAGGTCGTGACTGTTGCGGTGATGGACTGCCTGGCGGAGTGCAGGCAGACGATGAGGACAAATTTGAGGAAGAGACTTTTAGAACAGATGGTATGGTCTTGCTGCGCTTCTTTCGGAAACGTTCACGTTTCGCTGTTGCACCACTGTAATCGAAAAATGCAGCAAATGTCACAAAAATTCGGCTATAAGAGCATATCATTACCTTCGTACTGACGAATAACGGAAAATAAAGCTTTAAATATTAAATAAAACACAAAGAGAGAATGTGAGAAAAAACATACCTAGCTCGAGTATGTTGATCAATCCCTCGCTCAGCTATGCTCATTATGTCCTTTAACGCTTTCTTCAAGCTATTGGCTCGTCCAACAAGGGAATCTCTCCGTCTCCTTTCCTCACTCGAAGTTCCTTGAACGACAAGTTGTTTGTCAACCCAACCAGAATGATATTTCAACTTACTTTCATCATCTTCTGGCTCAAACCCGCTCTCCTCTCGTTTTCGCTCTTCAGCTCCCAGCGACTGCATCAATATATCAAGTTTTTGCAACAGAGTAGAGCATCTGCACATGATTGCATGAGAATTAAGCAGAAAATTACACATATTCAACCAACTTCTCTGTTATTGGATCACTTGGCAGATGTCCCGCTTCCCTTTCCCATTCCTCGACTTTGGTAAATGTCGCATTAATTCGCTCCATTAGCCCACGTACGGTCTCACACAGTGACCTAAAAAATCACACTTGATTTGACCGAAATTGAACTAAATCTCTCAGAGCCTGACTTGACAGTTTTAAACACTTCCAACGGTTCATCAGCATCCAGTACAGCTTGCACCTCATTCATGATCGTCCTTTCGTACTGGCTAACAGCTGAAGCTTGAGGTCCCTCGATTGAAAGAATGCTCCACCTGCATCATTTTGTTTACAGAATGGTGGTTGATAGAACTATGCCAGTTCATATAAAAAATTCCCGGGAGGGGATGGTACCACAAGGATCCCAGAAAAAACTTAATTTGGCGATGCACATTCAAAACAGCTCCTACCAAAATTCCTATGGTCCAAAGCAGATGGACAAAAATGCAAAACTTACTCAAAAACATGATAAACTGAGAAGAAAGAAGGTTGTATCAAAACTAAAAGTACTGTACTCAGTCGTACAAAGAAAAAACCAGAAAAATGTCATATGCTTACCTATCCAACATTCTAGTATGCGCTCTCTCAAATGTTCTTATAAGTTGAGGTAACTGTGTGTCATCATAGAACGCATGTCCCCATCCAAGTACTCGAGCTAGGTCATTTCCGGTTCCAAGCGGTAGAATGCCAAGTTGACACTGAAGATTTAAATTTGGAGGAATGCCAAGGCACATCTGATTACAAGACTTCTTACCTTGTTATGCAAGCCAAGTCTGTCGAACGCTCCCAACACCCATCCTACCGTACCGTCACCACCACATACAAGAACACGAAAGCAATCAAGGGTATCGAAGAATGAAAGCCTAAATCGCTTCCTATTATGAAGTGCATGTGCAAACTAAGTAACAGAACGTACGCAAAATCCGGTCCAGTTGCAATGATGTCAAAAACCTGCAGCGGATTGAGCAATCGCTTGAATTTGCGAACCATACGTTGCCCTTGATTGTCACCGGATTTCGAGTTTACCAAAACAAGAAGTGGCGAACCTCCCCCGCATTCTCCACCTGCAATTCAAGTGTGGATATTTCAAAGTTGGCGTGCTTTTTTCAATTGCAAAAAAAAAGCAGTGCAGAAAAGATGTTGTTCGAGCATGATACAACTTTGTTGTAAAGATGTTGAACTCGTTGGCAAAGAATGAGCCTAGTTGATACACAAAACCCACTGTGAAATAAAATTTGTTTAAAAACTCAAAGATGTACAAAACTTCGGTACTTTTTATGGTTGTTTGTGTGTTTAACAACTATGGATTGAAATGATAGCCCCCCCCCCCCCCGATGCATGGAATAATCGAAAAAAAAACTAATTCACAGAACATGAGGTATAAAAAACACTCCAAAAACAAAATGAAAGGAAGAATGAAATCATCATGATTTGGTCTTAGCAGTACAGATAAGGTCATAAACGCTCCTTCCTAACAAGGGAAGTCACTTAACTTAGGTCGGGCTTTTGAAATGAGACACAAATATTTAGAATCAGCTCGGAACGCTGATTCCAAATATGCTATCCTTAGCTGCGAAGCGTTTCTCTGAAGCGAGTTATGAGCTTTTTTAATATGTGTCGTTGACATACAACTGAATATGGAAAGAAGGTCTTTGGATAAAAATCTGCCCAAAAAGTGGTGGAAAATCAAAATAACATCAAATTGAGTCATTTGGTTTTGATAGGGTATAATATGAGTTTGAACCATTACCTAGATGATGATACCGTAGCATGCCTAAGTCGGTCAACACGCAAAATTGGCTCAGGAAAAAGCTCATAACTCGCTTCAGAGGAACGCTTCGCAGCTATGGAAAGCAGATTTGAAATCAGCTTTTCAAGCTGATTCCAACCATATGTGTCTCATTTCAAAAGCCCGACCTAAGTTAAGTGACTTCCCTTGTAAGAATAAAGACCAGAGCAAAAACAAAAGTAGAAAAGATCAAAACAAACTAAAATGGAAGTCAAGAGCAAAAGTCCCACCTATTGCATCTGTTCGAATCTGCGCAACACCATCTTCACTAACATCTTTGACTGCAAGTGGTGGCAGTACAGAAAGTGATGCTGGTCCCAATGAACATCCACGTCCTAATTGAGAAAGGCATGATGAATGCACGCAACATGCACACCATAGACACCTCCAGTCCTAAACGTCGAAGTTCCAGAAATAAAAGTACAAAATATTCTCAAACTAAGGTATACTCACCGCAAGTTTGAGTACCGAGCCGCAAACTTTCTCACAAACTACGCACTTTGACGACATTGCAAGGTTACCTTCGACCCATTGGTGAGCTACTATTGAATTCTGCAAAATTAGGACAGTACTACTTCGTAGCAAATGAAATATTGAAACTCAACAAAACAGGATAGAATAAAAGGAGCAGCCTCGCCGGCCGAGACACTCACCTCAGGACTAATATACTGTAGATGACTAGGAATCGTGCATTCAATTGTCCATTTACACCGCTCGACAATTTGTGGAATGCATTTCTTGTGAGCTTTCATCTTACATACTGAAATCGTTAATGTAAATCCACCGGGATCGAGCGTTTACTTAGTACCTGAAGAGGATGAGTAACTTCTCGGAAAAATTGTTCTATAACCGATTAAAAAGACACTACTGAGCCCGCGCATTTCGGTTTGTCAATGAGACCGAAAATCCGACCAAGAACAACAAATTCTTCATCGAATAAGTTTGAGATTATCAATACTGGGACATGTTACACAAATTTCGAACTTTTTGAACTCCAACTCTTCAAGAAAATGTCCTGATACTATCTAAACTCTCAAAGATAATTCGAGCATTACTTACTTTCACATGACCATCCATGCCACGTTAGACCCGATAGTTTTTCTCGACAGAAATTACAAAATGTTGGCCGATGATGATTCATCTGTAAACTTTACATGAATAAGGATCAATAAAGTATGACTGTTCAGATAACGGGGAAAAAAGAAGAAAACACATAAATCACAGATGAAACAAAGAAAACAAGATCTCACCTGATACCATTGATGATCACCGGAAGTTCCCTCTAGCATCGCATCGACCGCACCGCTCTGAATAAATCACATAAACCGACATTCCCGGGTAACATTGCATCGTAAAACATCGAATTGTAAGTGTCTGAGACAGCAATGAAAACTACATTCCTACGATTCTCGTAACAGAGACTACGAAAACAAGTCGAATACCTTTATGAGCGAATAAACGACTACTACTATATGACAGCGACGAGAAAACCGAGGTAAAGTACAAAAACAGGCGTACATCGCTTCGTGCAATGCTATTTTTGCACTGATCAATCTCTCTGGTTTATGCGCCATGCCTTGCACTTCTTTCAACAACAAGGAGGCACTTAAATGTGCAATGTGCCTTCACAACGACTTCCGGAAGCACACAGACAGCGTCACGGCAATATTTTGAAGGAGTTCTGCAACTAGAATAGCAGGATTCTGCAAAATCGGTGCAAAAGCGCAGGGACCAACGACGGTACAAAACATTCTTTTTATGAGAGCGTTCCATAATTCCCAACCGAGTGGAAACAGCTCCATACCAAAGAAGGAATGATGGGTAGCTTTACTACTTAACGCCAGTTAGCTCTATGAACGAGCTCTCACCATATTAACACTCAGCCTACTTCCGCCAAGGAGATAATTCGAAAAAGATGAAATTTGCAGCTACGTTTATGGAAATCGTTCAGCGTGTCCGGTTTCACTCATAGTAGGCTTAAAAGCATGGGATAAATTATGGTACATATCATAAGCATTGCAAAAAGATTTTAGGCACTTAGCTATCATGTAGTGTTACCTCAATGAGGACTTCATAATTTATTAAAATGAGGGAGAAGTTAAAAAAGTATACGTAATCTCATGTAAAACTCTTCGCTGTTAGTTACAATGACCTGAAGCAAGTCAGACGAGTTATATAGAAGCAAGTTTCATAGAAGTGCTAAGAGCATTCTGAGTTCCCATTTTCATTCGCACGCTCATGGCCCTTCGTAAGAAAAACAATAACCAATTAAAGATGATAGTCATACATGGCTACGAGAGATGCTTAAAAGGACAACGGTGGATATGAGAGAGAAGGTATGGAGGACAGGGAGAAACAAGGAGCAGCAGTGGCTGGTATGAAGTCGCCAACACATTTAGCGATTGATGGGGTCATCAAAATCGATAACGATGAAGCAGATGGGAGAAGAAAAAGGAAAGCAGAAGCCAATATAAACGACTTGCCGCAATTCTGCGGGGGTTTTCTCTAGCGTCATAAGTGCGTAACGGATTTAATAATCGCTAGGAATGCACGACTGAGGTAAGCAGAACACCAGCACGGACTTGAGTCTCAAAACGAAAAAGCGAAAATTCCTATTGTGCGAAGAATGGAAAATCAAAGGCGATAGAGAACACTCAGTTGAAGGACCTATAGTGCATAGCAATAGGATGAATGTTATAGTGCAAGCCAGCCATTCATGCAACCATAAAAATAAAAACAACTGGCTACGGCGCTGCTGGCACAGCAACCAGAGCTTTGAGAACCAGTTCATTATGATGGATTGTGAGCGAACACATCTGTGTTGCAGACAAGGAGTTAAAAAAAACATGATGGAGCTACAATTTGAGCAACTCACCGGCTACAATGTTCTGCAAAAGACTGAAAATGAGTGATTAAAAGAAGTTAAGACTCTCAAAGTAAAAACAGCCAAAAAGTTTCTGATTCTAATCAAAGAAAGATCTATGTATGGTCTTGAGAGCAATGAACGCGCAAACATGCAGAATTCTCGATAAAAAACAGATAATATCGAGAGGAAAGGAAAACAAGAGGCATTTTAAGAGAAGGACGTCACGATTCGCTAAATAGAGAAGATTTCATAGATAGGTGAACTCTCAGTTTGAGGTATACATACGTACTCAAACAGAATAAAACCAAAAACGCACACAAAATGTCAAAAAACGCGAATCAAATCGTCAAAAGAATTTAAAGGAAACGAAACTGACGCAGAAAATGCAGCTTACTTTATCAGGATATTTCTGTTTGAACGTCGATAATGACTGTCGCCATTGATCCATTGCTTCTACGTAACTACGAACTGGTTTCAGCATAAACGATCTGGAAAGACCACATGTTAGAAACATGCAGAAGTCAGCATCGTAGAAGAGTGGTAAACAAGAGCAGTGGGGCTAATTATTTCCCACACGATTGATGACCTGCTATCATTTATCAGACAATTACTGCAAAAACATGAACATCGATCAATGTCCACGGGGGTGAGGGCTAGGAAAAGAACACCAGATACAATGACGACGACTGCGCAGCCGTACAATGCTATAGCACCCCCCCCCCCCCTCCTCCCACACCACAGCGAAGGGGAAGCAACGAGCGAAAAAAGAGATGCCTGCACGATAAGAACGCGATATGGTGAAGTGTGATTATGCTTATCTTTCACGATAGCTTCAACACTACGACAAGAAAGAAGCTCAAAATTCATAAAATTGATGGGTGACACGAAAATTAGGCACGAAGGAGACTGGATGACAGGTATTAAGCAAAAAAGAAATCCGCCTTTAGAGACTACGAAAAAGCAAAAATTGCTCTGACAGCAAACAAATTTTTTCCATCTTTTAAATGACCAATAATTGCTCAAATAACGTCTTTCCGAATCAATCTATAACATATGAAGCGATCAGAATTCGACTTCGCCATTTTCTGGAAGTTTCCAGTTGAAATGTTATATGTCTTTCGACAACAAACACTTCTAAAAACCAGATAGTACTGTATAGTCGAAACTTTACTTGCAAAAAATACAAGACAAATATGCTCTTTCATTGAAAAGAATTAGACCAAGCCATCAATAGTCCAAATCGTGAGTTTTTTTAGCCTCCCCCCCCCCCCCCCGAAAAATGGGCAGTGCGGTCAAGCAGAAAGATACTAGAGACCAACCAACCACCCACCCACTCTCATTGCTATAAAACACCAGAAAAGTTTCCGAACCCAAATTTCTGCCTATACCGGAAGTAAGCCAGATTACTGACCCGTGACTCGCTAAAAATGGATGTAAGCAAGTTCAAAAAAGCAATGTCTGGCCACCCACCCACTCTGTGCAAAATTTCGGTCCAGACCATCTACAGTTTCCGAAAATCAGAAATTTGCAGGCCCTTACGCATGTCAGATTATTGCGCTCTAAAACGGGAGAAAAAATGACAAACAAGCGGTAATCATGCTTTTAGAAGCCAACAATATCGACCAAATATTATTATACCCGACTTTTCTTATGCCAAACGAGAAATTCTAACTTCTTACCGCATGGTGGCTTCGCTCACAAGTTGTTTATGGCGAAGCACCGGTAATTCAATTTTTTTCCAAAATTCAAACCGCGAATATGCAAAGGCTTCGAAGCATGCATATTCATCCGAATCTACATAACCCACCCTATCATGCAAGCTGAAGATTTGGTTTTGACTATGGTTTTTTGAAGGCTCTCCACATCGTCAAAACAACAAAGACAACCCATACTTTTCGAATGAGTCAAAATATGGAAGGGCGTTTGCGAAATCCTTGAGTGAGTGTTTAACATCAAGGTCAAGTAGAGAACAATCAAGACGTTCGTGAAGGGTCAAGCTGTGGCGGCTGACATTTCACGGAACATGGCCAAAAATAGCGTACAGATATAGGAAAAAAACACTCATACAAAGACTATTAAAAAAAAACAACTCATACAAAGACTATTAAAATTAGTTGCACATAGTCTGTACAGATTATTCAGGTGGTGTTTGAGAAGATAAGAAGTTAAAATCTGTGAAGAACGCAATAAAGAATTTTCAAGAATAAAGTGGATGAGATGCGAGTCAGATGCATGAGAGAGTACATATGTTTCTTGATCCTCGCAAAATTATAATTACTGTTTCTCCGGCAACTGGGAATTGGACAACTGATCTCGATAAACACTAGAGCTTTGAAGCTTATTGGAATGTGTGACAATGACTGAAGTATAGAGTGCTGAAACACAAAGTACCTGCGCATTAGTGCAGGCGTGATCATGCTTTATTTCTTCTTTTTGATGGTGGTGCAGATATCCGGGATCATCAAGAGCAATTTTTGCAAAGCTCTCCTCTTATACCCCATGAAACAACAGCTGAGATATTAAAGCATTTCAAGAGCACCCCCCAAAAATCTAAAGCGTAGAAAAACTTCATAATGGAAACCAGAGAAATTCGCGAAAAGACCTTTACGACTCATTCCTAGTGCCGCTGAGTAGTACAGACTCTGAGTAATCAGACCTGTTCCGCCTTACCTAAGTGCTAACTTCGCCGCAAAAAAAATGGAGCAGGTGCGAGGACAGAAGAAAAAGAAAATATTTGATGATTTGATCAGGCGGTAAACTTAAGACTGAACGATTCACCAGAAATTAATGCCAATAATTATGACTGGATAATATGAGGCGGAATTTTCTCGTGCAAAGGATCACAGCCAGTAAATCACGCTGCGCTGGGTGACAAGAATGTTCGGAATCTCTGGGGATGTCATTAAAGCTAAATCCATGCATCAAATCGATAGAACAGAGATATGCAGAATTTTCGCTGCTCGTTCTTCGGCTACAACAACCCACGCGCATAACGATGTAGGAAAATATGAATAGGGCCGACAAGTAAAGAGTGTTACGCCCACGGGCAACGATGAATAGATGGTGAATTCTAAGTAGGTGTTGAATTATGGATGCTTTTGCAAAAGATTGCTATTTACGAACAAATTTCGGCAAAAACTGCTAGCACAATGCATTTTGCACAAGAGTTTGAAATGACGTGAGAAATATCTAAATAAAGCATTGGACGAAGGCATATTTGCATGAAAGGGTAGAAAATGAGAATTTTCACCTTTTTCAAACATACATTAAGAAGAAGAGGAAAAGGTAATTGTTGAAAGCTAAAAGAAATTTCAAAAACGCGAGCTAAAGAAAGCGTCAGGGACGCAAAAGCTACTTATTTTTTGGAAAAGATCACTGAAAATGTAAAATTTAAATGAGCGACATTCCGTGCATTTGACAATCGAAAAAGCCACCAACACGTTTGAATGAATGAAACCTTCTCTAATTTCTGAAGAACGTTTCTGCGCGATGACTCACGCTCTTAGTCAAGTGCAGACGGCTAGCTAATTGTGGTACAGTGCTCCCTGGTTTTCGACTGCTAGCACAATCGATCTACTTCAGAAATTAAGATCAAGCATTTTCACACCCGTACAAGTAGGTGAAAAGCAGATGAATAATTTTCCTGAGCAAATTTGTGCAGAACATACAATGGATATAATTGAGATGAAGCAAATTTGTCAAAGTGATTCGAAGCTATCGAAGCTAAAATCAGCTAGCATTTTCATTTTCTTCTGATTAAATCATCCGCCAAATCCCAGGTAATAATGGTCCTTCGCAAAATGCAAAGAAGAATCTTAGAGGGATGAACTGTTGGAGCAAAATAGCTGCTTTGCCGCTAATAGAACCCGATATGTACCCTATGTTCCATTCTACTTCTTCCCAATAGCCCTCAAAGAGACCAAAGAAGGGGCAGAAAGGAGCTGCAGAAAAGGACGAAGTTGCAAGCGAATTTTAATATGGATGTAGACAAATCAAGCTGGTTTACTCATTACTACAGAAATAAGAACAAAGAAGAAAAGAACTTACAGACTGAAACCATCACTGGAATCTTATAGACTAGAGAATGGAGAAACAAGTTCGAGAAAACCACGAGATACACAAAAGAAACATCTTTTCATGTAAATAACGTCAACTCACCATAGCATGACGAAGAAAGCCCAGCGATCCCACTCTGCAAGCCCACCTTCTGAGCAACAATAAATGTTGCTATGGCACCTTAATATATGACTTACTAGCATATTTTTTCTAAAATCATCCATTGACAAAAAAAAAGAGAGCGCGAAACGTCATTCAATGCTTCATTAATGAAGAAGAAGAGCCGTGAAAGCGTTGACCGTGAATTTCGATAGATTTGTACTTAAAAGGTAAGAATACAGTGGAGACAATAGGAACGGCCGAGGAGGCGAAGAAAATGCGTGGGCAATGTCTCCAACGAATTTCCGGGCGACGCGTAATAATCGCGCCCATCTGTTGTAGCTTTCATCATTTGTTGGTATAAATAATTTGAATGTTTAAATTTTGAAGTTGTTCTGGTTTTCATATTTTTACATTACATTTTAATTGACTGAGATCCATATTTTTGATTTGTCTAGACTCTCCAGTCGTAATTCAGTAAGTAAATCCTTCTTCGCTGATTCGCCATTGAATGCACTCTGACAATTCATTAGAATAAACGTCTTAACTGTTTTATACCATCGTTTCACAGCGCTTGTATCAATGCTCTACATAGGCCCTATAGTGTCGTTGTATTACTCAGGAGAAGGAGCCCTAAGTTTTTACTTCATTTTCAGATGAGGGTAGTTCCTCTGTCTTGGATTAGACGGAGGTGTTTCTCAAAAAGTGTTGTATATCTATGCAATAGCAAAGAAGCTCAGCTGCCTAGTGTCGCTAAACTGCAAATAAAAGAGTTGGCAAAGTCAGATTTGCCAATCGAAAAGCTCTCACTTTCTAGAGGGCTTGCTATGAACAAATTTGAAAAGGTTAGCCTTTTTCTTTATGAATTTCTTATCTCATTACCTTGCTGTACTAGGATTTTATGATCTACCCTGAATATACGGATACTGATGATGTCAAAGCAATACAAGGATTTACAGAGATCTTGAGGAAGTCCCTGGAATTGTCAAGTGAGTTGCACTGGAAGTTTATCTTTACAGTCTGTTAACCACTTCATAGATGATCTTTTTCTGAGACTTGGATTTTCTCAAGACTTCTATTCAACGTGATTGATGACAGATGGCTGCAAATAGCTAGTCTACTTCTTTAGTCTACTTCTGTTTTGAAGTTTTTGCTTTCTTTTAATATTTACCTTGTGATTAGAATTTGGATACATCCGGTATTTCGGTATCGAAAAAGGAAACTGGCATTTACGAGATTTCAGTATGTCAAATGCTTATCTTAGCTATCTTTTGGACCTAAGTGTGTATCGTAATTTGATTTGGATTAATCGCTTCTCGACTCAGTCGTTACCCTCATCAATGTAAAACTGTTTGCAGTTGACCGCGGGGAGCTTGAAAAGCATGGTTCATTGACAGATTCAGTCAAAGCTGCTCTTCAGGATAGCGCTGTATATTCCGCCTTTATTCCCTCTGCTTATGAAGGCCTAGGGCTAGGATATAAAGATAGAATGAAAATATTCGAGGTAGGCAGTATCCTTACTTCATACCCATGCTTCTTTTAATGCAGTTCTCTTATGCATTGTTTTTTTTTTTCAAGGATCTCAACATAGATTGGAATTTATATGCAAATGTTGCTTCTGTGAAGTCTCTTGTTAACATATTACTGTTATATGGTTCAGACGAGATGAAGGAAAAGTATTTTCCTTCAATAGCTAGCGGGAAATGCCGCCCAATTATCGCTTTTGTAGATGACTCCAGGTTCACTGTTTTTTCATCTTCGCAGGTATTTGGACTTAATCATTCTTCGATGCACTTATTTCTAGTCCATCTACAAGCGCTGTAATCATAGGAGATAGCCGCACCAAAACCATTCTCAAAGTTGAAAATACACGCTGTACAGGAATGCATAATGCCAATCTTGCGCTACTTTTCGCAAAGTCTGTGGGTTCTTATTTCTTGGATATCTTTCTTCGATCTCTATTCTGCTGCAGTCAATAGGGAAATTATGGAAGTTTTAGAAGGATGGGTCTTTCTCGTGCTACATCGTTGATCGTTCGGACTTGAAAGAGCAAGATAAATGGGAGTTCAAAAGAGACGACACCATTGGACTAAAGGCATTTGATGGTATCATATCTCCGCTGGTTGCTATTACCTTCGATGATTTTTGCAGTTGGCACTCTCAATTTGTTGGCCATTGTTCAAGATGAGCAGTTGCTCGGAAAACTAGGACAGGGAACTGAGGTGCGTAACATCAGCTCCATTCTGAAACTGCAAAATTATTTTTCTAATTTTCGTTCAGAACATTCTTCTTTGCGTTACAGATACGAGATGAGCTAGTTTCTGCTGCTCGGTTACCACTAGCAGCAGCTACCATCGGTTTTGGAAAACGTTTGCTCCATGATCTGGCTTCCTTATGCAACAAAACACCAAGTACAAGAAGGGTAAGCTTTTATTCTGTTTGAATCTCTCTTACGCTTTTGATGTAGTAGAAATGTTTGCTTTGTTTTTGTCCTCATCGTACAGAATTTGAGGAAAACGCTGTGGTATCTGATGAATCTTTGATGCAGTACACTACCACCCAGTTTGCCCTGAAGGTAATTTTCTGATTATTTTTTTTTGAAATCAGTGTTGATGAAGAATCTTAAAGCTATACATCCTTGAATCTGCATCTTATTATCTCGCTGGTCTTCTAGATGAGCGGCTACCAGTTGTTCTAGACATTGAAAATGCTTTAATCCACGTAGGTCAAATTTTTCGTCTACATCGTTGAAATCTCAGATGTGTTCCTACAGAAATTGACGAGGGATGTTTTGATTAGTAGCATAGCTACCTGTGTAAATTTGGCAGGAATACATTCGACCAATCCCGCTTTACAGTTTGAGAAGAACATAAGAGACGTTACCACGTTGTTATCCATGGTGAGTGATTCCATCGTTTTTTTTTTGCAGGATTCAAAAAAAAATGTCTACGGTTCAGACTCGCGATGAAGCCAGCGTTGAAAATGTTGCTATAGCCACACTTTCGTCATGGACCATAGGCCACAAGAGGTAAAGTTGTTGATTTTGTTTTTCTTCCATTTCTCAGTTTGGCTTTGTCACATTTTATTTACTTCTCTCGATTAATAGCAGTATCACCTCCTACATTCTCAACTCAGAGTCATGAAAGAGCTGTTTGGGAATATGATTAATTCTAGGATAGTGAGCTAATTCTAGGATAGTGAGCTCTTTGAAGCGATTTTTTGGACAAGAACGGCTGGCAGATGAAATGGATCATCCTAGACTGACGCACTACATCGCTGAGCATGCGCACCCTTCACTTCAAGTAATCTAAAAGTAATCCAGATTGCTCCTCATCACCATTTGATCTGATTATAGATGGCCTGTCAAGACTTGGAGTTCTCGATATCGCGTGTGAATAATGTTATTACAAAGCTTATCAATGAACAAGGAAAGAATCTTGACAAGGACTATGCTACTTTAGATCGCTTAGTGACGGTACTTCAGGTAAGATTTAGCTTTGTAAAACGGCACAACATCAAATCGTCTGTTGCAGAACCATCTAGCTATGGTTGCAGTGATTTCTAGGTCGTCAAGATCGTATTCTATAGGACTTCGAAATAGTGACATAGAAATAGCCTGGTCTACTTTCATATGCTCAAAGTGCGTCTTCTCTTTCGTATGGTTCACTTCCGCATTCATTATTTATCAGTTTTGCCGTGTTTCCAGGTTGTCGCGAGAAAATTGGTTCCTGCTCAAAGAACTTGATGACTACTTTGGACTACTTCGGCTCAATCCCTCACTATTGAATGTCGGAAGAGCCGTGTTTGATATGGGTGGATACCAAATAGAATCACCTCTAGAACGAAACTGGTAGATAGTAGAGATAAAATTTTACCATATTCTGTGCAAGAAACAAACTCGGATGTGGTCAGCGAGCCTTTCGAGGGCCCAGGTATGTTCAGAAATGTGCTACTAACAGCCTGCTTATGCAGTAAAGAAAATCAGGAGCCAGTATTCCACCCATATCAGATTTGCTCAATTCATAAGTGTATGGATGTAGTGGCTAGAGGCGTTGCTGGGATCGCATCGCATCATCGCAAGGTCTATCGAATCATCAAAGGGTTCCCATTTTATTTTCGAGTTCTTGTCGTACCTAGTGTTGAGAATACTCTTTCTTCGCGTGTCTGTATGCGAACCTTCTCCTGCTATAGCATTGGCGACATAAGTAGACGAAAGTTCAGAGTCATATCTCCCCAGAAACAAACTATAGCTTGATACCGCTCGTAGCCTCACATTTAGAATTCGCACGAAAAGTAGTCTGGGTATTCGATATTTTACCTATACCTTCTGTAACGGCTCTTTGGGCGCAAAGCAGGCGGATTACTTGAGAATTCAAGTGCTCGTCGCTAAGCGCACTACTTAAACCTATCGCACAACTCATATTGATTATCTAATCACATACTACAATAATAAAGTCACACTACTATCAATAATGACTGAAAACACTCCTGCACAGTGGAAGGAACCCATTCCCTGCTACGATGGTGCGCGTCTACACATTGTGTCTCTCGTGCAGAAACTGTCCCGGGGCTTAATAAAACGAATACGTCGTGAAAAATAAATAAATAGATAAATAGTCGGTAAAATAAATATATAAATAAAATAAATAAATAATTAGTCGGTAAAATAAATAGAAATAAACAGTCGTACCCTGTCTTAACACATTCACAACAAGGCCATTTTTTCGATTACTGCCGTCTCAGACCAGAGCCTTTTCTCCTTTGTCAAAGTTACGACCCACCCGTGGGTCGTGTCAAGTCTAGGGGTGTACGGGCCCTAGCTTGATGAGTGTAGCGGTACAGGTAGGTATTATATATATTTATTATTTACATGTTATATTACAACTAGCTGGCTTACCCGGCTCCGCCGTATCCGGACCAAACTTGGCACACATATACTTCGGGCCCCGGCGGGTGTCACAGTCCACTTTTCGTTATCGATCGATGTCGATTTTACCGATTTTTATCGATTTTTTTTGCAGAGTTCACCTACAGGGCTAGGAGTTGGCACAGGGGGGAAGTCATGGGGATTCCGAATACAATATTAGTTTTCAGAATTATCGATTACTTTTATTGATTTTATCGATTTTTTGTAAATTTTGACATGCGAGGCTGGGATTTTGCACAGGGGAATAATCGAGCATGCTGATTACGAACACAGTATTAGTTTTCAGGATCGTCCATTACTTTTATCGATTTTTTTGTAAAGTTTGACCTGCGAGGCTGGGATTTTGCACAGGGGAATAATCGAGCATGCAGATTACGAATACAATATTAGTTTTCAAGATCGTCCATTACTTTTATCGATTTTATCGATTTTTTGAAAATTTGAGCTAGGGGGCTGGAATTTGGCACAGGGGTGTAATCGAGCATGCTGATCATCCCCTTGGGGGTGATCAGCATGCTCGATTACCCCCCTGTGCCAACTCTCAGCCCCCTAGCTCAAACTTTGCAAAAAAATCGATAAAATCGATAAAAGTAATCGATAATCCTGAAAACCAATATTGTATTCGGAATCCCCATGCTCGATTACCCCCCTGTGCCAACTCCCAGCCCCGTAGGTGAACTCAGCAAAAAAATCGATAAAAATCGATAAAATCGATATCGATCGATGACGAAAAGTAGCCTATGACACCCGCCGGGGCCCGTAGCGTATGTGTGCCAAGTTTGGTCCGGATCGGTTCAGAAATGGAATTTTCTGTTCGGAACATACGTACATACATACATACATACAGACATACATACAGACATACATACAGACATACATACAGACATTCAGCCTTAAATATAAGATAAGGGGGAAAGGGGGGGGGAGACTGCAGAAGCAGCCTTAGTGACCCCTGACGACCGTGCAGCCTTACGGTGCACGGTCGTCGGGGGTCACTAATCCTGACTGGCCTCCGTTGCCAGCCCCCGGGAGAGCAGCTGTTTGAGCTGAGCTGAGCTGCGTCCCGACATCTCCATTCCTTCAGAAAGCTCGTCCTCGAGCTTGTTTGGTGGTTGTTGAATGTCCTCCGAGTTTCGTGTGTAGAGAGTACACGAGTTACGGCGAGACCATAGAGAATTTCTATATGTATACCATATTGATTGAGTAGAGGAGTTGGTGTACGCGTGCCGTCAAAAGTAGCAATGTCAGCTTGTTCTATATACACGTTAGTCGTAAGCGTACATTTTTCACCAAAAAACCAAGGATATGAATAATGTATGGCGTTTTCCGAGCCATAAACATTTGGTGATAACTTTTGCATAGGTACTCCTAGAAATTTCTTTATTTTGCTAAGCGATTCACACAGTGCAAAATCTACAGGAGACATGTACTCGTCATCACTTTTTACGGAGAAAGATATGTGAAGATAAGACGAAGCACATATTTTCCTAGTCTTATTAAAGCAATGAAACGCGGGTAGAAGGTAAGGTTCAGTGCGTTCCACGTAGATTTGCGCTGTTGTTACCAAAATGTTTGTAGAATTTGGAGAGTGTGAACACGATGTTGTTTCTGGATAAGCGACAGGCCAACCAGATTTTTCCGCAACAAAGTTGATAAGTTTTTAATGAAAGTGCAGAAGCATTAGGTAAAAAGAGGGAAAATAGTGCTACAACAAAAAGTTAGTATGGACTATTAAGTAGTCCAGTGAAAAGGTTTGTTGAGACTGAATTAACCGGCCTCTGGCGTTGATTACGGTTTGGGTTACGATTATTTTGTCTATTATTTGAAAAATGAGGTGATTGTTCTCTTTGCCTGTTATTGGAAAAATTTGGGGGTGTTCCAGATCTCGACTGTTGGCGACGATATGGTGATTGTTGGCGGTGATTTGGTGATTGTCTATGCTGATACGGCGATCTACTGCGAGCTCTATCAGAACGATCTGATGGAAGTGGCGCGAATCTAACATTGCGTCTTTGCGGATATGGAGAACTTTCAAAAAATGAGTTTAGTGAGCGAGCACGCGCATAACTGCTAGAAGTCGATGTGTAAGGATTTTGCGAGTATGGGTGGTTATTCCATCGTTTTCCGCGGTATGGTTTATGAACCATGTTAACAGATGTTCTGGGTACTTCAATATTATCTAATATTCTATCCATTTTGGCTAGAATAGTATCATTCGCAAAAGATGAAGTATCCGACTGAATCAAACCGTGAATACGTTCTGATTCTTCAATAAGTTTCTGATGGTCAGTTGGAAGTGGACCTAGCAATTTGAGTTTTTGTTTGATTTGGTTCTGCAAACCATTTTTGAAATGTGTCGTTAGTAAAAAAGTGCGATTGGCGGTATCGCTATCGCTTGGATATGCCTCAAGAATTTGTTGTCTAAGTCTATTAGAGAAAAGTGTGGGAGATTCTCCTGGAATCATTCGCATATCCATCAATTTTTCGCGGGCAGAATCCAAAAAATGGTCCGTTGAAAAGTGGCTTTTGAGTTTTGCTATGATTGTTGCCCAGCTAATTCTGTCTTCTGGCGCCATGTTATCGTAAACAGCTTTTGCTACACCATTAAATGTGCTGGGAGTAAGCGAACCATTTTATTGCTTGTTAAACCCATTATCGAAGAAATTTCTTCAAATTGCGTGATAAATTGCATAAGACCTTTGGGTCCTTGATCTCCGGAAAATGTTGGTAATTTGCTACTGTATGAGGAGAGAGTTAATTTATCAAAAACTGTATCCAAACGATCTATGAAAGTTGCTACAGAATGATGATTTTGAGACATTGAAGCGTGATCCATATTTTGCGTTGCGGTCTGATTTGAGCAAACACTTACAGATGGCGAAATGTGTGAAAGATTGTTAGCAATTTCCTGTGGTAACAAGATTTGCTGAGGTACTACTGTCGAAAAAACCTGTTGTTAAACGAAATTTGAGGACTGTTGTTGAGAGGTTAGTGTTTGAGCTTGCTCTTGGGTTATAGGAATGAAAAATTCCTCTTTTTGGGATATAAAAACCTGAGGTTGATTTTGAGTTACGGGGATCAAAAGTTGAGCGGGCTCTTGAGTTGCAAGAATTGGAGTTTCCTCTTGAGTTACCAAAGCCTGTGATTGTTCTATGGGAGGAGTAGAGACTCGAGAGTTTGCTGTTTTTGGTGAAGAACGAAGAGATGAGTAATCTAGGGAAACTATCGAAGAAGCTTCGGTGGGAGCTACTGAAGAGACTTCAGTAGGAGGAGAAGCTACGCGAGGTTTGACAGGACTACTTGATTTATATTCACTACACCTTACTCTATGTACTTTATGCGATATACGCGAATGAGATCTTGGTCTTCTTTTGATAGTCGCACGCTCGGTTGTATTACAAGGTTTAGGAGACGCACAAGAACTAAGTTCAGTATCAGAACTGTTCATGTAACAGCAACACTTTTAATGATAAGATTTTCCAAAAAAATTTTTTTTTCAAAAAAATATTTTTGTTCGAAGTTCAATCGACTAAACGTGAAGGCAACCGCAAATTCGTCGGGTATGATAAATGAGGACCACAATCGACACGAATGGAAGAGAATATCGAATAACCAAACGTGAAGGCAACCGCAAATTCGTCGGGTATCCGACAAATGCGGACCACAATCGACACGAATGGAAGTAAAAAAAAATTTTAAGGAATAGAAAGTTTTTGTAAAGCACAGATATTTCCGTATTAGAGTTTTCTTAAAATTGGAACAACCGAGCGGATGGCCAGATGTAAATGTTATGCTATAGTTGCGTTACTATATATTGTTTTAGTGTATATGGATCGCACCTGTATCCTAATCGTTGCTTCACAGGTTGCGGTTGAGATAGGCTAGTTCCAATGGAGAGGCTTGATTGTTGAGCGGTGAGCGAGATAGTGTTGTTCGTTGGAGAGGCTAGTCGGCTGGTTGCAGGCTAACGACGGGGCGGGCAATGAGATACAGTAAGGGTACTGTAGGAGACTTGAAGCTCAGGAAGCTTTGAAGGAAGCTAGAGACGAGCTTGGAGACGACCGATTGGTGTGAACACCAATGTATGGAATGATCCAAGACTAGCGTTCGAAGGCGGGTCGACTAATATTACGATAAATGGGCGGAGCTAGGAGTAAGGGTCAAATTGGGGGGGGGGGGGGTAGAAGAAAAGTGTAACAGTTTCGGTATCCCATATTTTGCTATTATAAATATGTTTTTTTTGGATAGTCATATAAAGTTGTACGAACATCGTTGCGCAATTTTGGGCGTGCGTACAGGAGAGTTTCGGCATGGATAAAAGTTTCGGCAGGATGTAAGGCTATGCGTATGATACCTGCCATTCGCTTATTAGCATTGGTCAGGCAGTGGTCGCTCCTCCTTGCTACAAAATTTTTGTTATCATTATTTCCTCAATTGCAAATAAGTTGAAGTCAGCCTTTATAGTGAAAACAAACTAACTATCTGCTCATATAATGTCAAGCTACGCTGATGGGCCAGAATCTACCGATTCGGAATTCGATGATGTAAGTTTTGCTTTCGTTTCATTACGCTATAAGATTCTAAGAAACATTTTGTTTGTTTTCCAGGTGTCTGATGCGTACTTTGATCAATATTCTACAAGGAATTCGGAACTGCAGAAAAAAAAATTGATGAACTGGAAGCGAAACTGGGACGTCAAATGCTTGAAAACAGGGAGCTGAGAGTGCCTTTGGAGGTGCAGCAGAACTGCTCGAACCGGCTGCAGGAGCAGCTCCGAGTTCAGCAGAGGCAACACGAAAATGCCAAAACACGCTATGAGGAGGTGCTGGCACGGTACGATAGGAGAGTGGATGCGCAGGAAGCATCTATTGTAAAAAAAGATGATGTAAGTATAATATTATTACTTTTTTTTGACTACATATTTAATGGAAGTAAAAAAAAAATTCCTCAAGTGTATGTATATACTTATCTTTTAGGAGGTAGAACGATTGGTGTTGGATCTGTATAAAGCTAGGCGTAATCTCCCAATCAAGCGTGGCTATAATGAGCAGCTTCATAATGTAGTTCTTCATGATATGGAAGAGGAGGTCATGATGGCGAGCCTCTCTAGGAGAAGCGTTACCAGCTCCTACATAGATGTGCAAGGAGATGGACGAGCTACTCTTACTTTGCTATTATGTGATGATACGCATATAAGCGGTTAGTTTGGTCTAGTAATCATTAAAGTGTGTAAGGTAGTTACAATTCTTTCAGGTGTTATGAGGACATCGGATGGTAGGCCATACAGTTTCATTTGAGACTGCGAAGACAATGTATGGAAGGGCGATCATGAGGGCCTTTGCATTGGATTTGGTCATTTAACGATCTATGACTTAATAATAACGGGCTAAGGGTTGTTTACGTCTGTTTGTCTGTGTGTCTGTGTGTACGTCTGTCTGTCACGAAATTCATACAGCGAGTTCCAGCAAATGTCTTGAGCTGAAGTTTTGGTCATAGCACCTTGCCAGCATCTAGGCCCATCATGCAAAATTTCGTACGGATCCGTTGCGTTGATGTTACAAAAATTGTGCGTCAAGCCGATCCACACAGCTCTAAGCAGGCAAAACTGAGTCCAGATTTGAATTTTTTGCAAAGCCATGATTTGCCTGACAAGTAAATTTGCGCCTCATGAATTGTAACCCAAAAAGGGCACAAAAAGTTTGCTTTTCTGCGAAAACAGCGCCAAAAAGTGGTGATCGTGTAGATAGTCGATTTGGCAAGGCTGTAACTTCAAATTTGAAAAGATTTTTGCACGGAAGTGTAGCCCAAAGTGACTACTATCCTTATGACGACTACCAAGCCAAAATAAATTCGATAATTCATTCGAATTCGCAGGTTTTCCTTTGCGAAAAAGATTTCTTTCTCAAAATTACCGATATTACGTGGAGATGCTTTAAGAATGAGCAGTTGTTTACAATTCATTTGTGATGTTCAGCATCGCGCGGTAAGTTTCAAAGTCATCATTATGCGAATATGAGAAAGGCATACGGATAGGAGTGCCAGTGCGAACCTCCGCGAAGCGGAGGTGATGCACTGGTGACCAATAATTGCGGAAGGATTCCATTGCTGGCTCGGTTCTCGGCCATGCTGGAAAGGAGTCTAGATAGGACTCGAAGTATTCGTTTCATCAACTTTGATGAAACGGAAAGGATTAAGACAATAATGCAAGAAGGTCGGAGGGTAGTCATGCGAACTTAGTTACATTGCTAGGCCAGCGATGTTATGTATGTATGTTTCTATGTGTTCATAAAGATTTGAATTTGTCATGTTTTGTTGTCGACAGCAGAAAGTAAAATTACGACAATATAAGTTGCGTAAGACAGACGCTTGCGGGTCATATTATGCAACTGTTGTTGTTAGTCGCGCGTCTCAATCGTAAAAGATTACGCAATTATTAACACGTTGACGACGAGCCATTTTTTTGCGGTCTGTCCCTGTGGACGAGACGTTTCCATGCATCCCTACGCGTAGCCCATGTATGTATGCATGCATACATGCACAGGGTACAAAATGTGCAAGCCCCGCCCCCTCTGGCAAGCTCCGCCCACTCGACCAAAAATGTCGGAAATTGCCCAAATTTCAAGAATTTATGCGATTTCCGCCACTTTTGAAAAGTGGGCGGAGCTTGCCACTCAGGGGGCGGAGCTTGCCTGACGGTGGGCGGGGCCTGGCTAGAAGTTGCTTGAAGTCTTTGCGTTCATCTACAGCCTCATCCATGCTTTTTGTGGACAAAAAGGATCCTTGTGAGAGGCATAAAAGTGGGCGGAGTTTGCCAAAAGGGGCGGGGCTAATACATGAAGTACATCTGAGCCTATGTTGATTTTATAAACAAAAACTGAGAGGATTGGACAGATGGTATTGAATTTAAGGCCGCCGCGCACCATTGCGCGGCGTCGTCCACAGGGACAGACTGCCTGCCGCGCACCATTGCGCGGCACTGTCGTCAACGTGTTAATCCTGTTCTAAGGTTTATCGCGACACGAGCAGACGCGAGCATTGCACTAACCGCGGCTGTAAGGTCTTAGCGCGCAGATATCAATAATCTGGCGCGGGGTCACATGCTTACAACATACGAGGGCAGCTGCGTTGCTTTATTGCCAGAAGGAGGTCACCGCGCGCGAACAGAAGCACTGGGTTTCGCTATATCTCCTGAGAGGTCGAAGCATTACGATTGGTCGACACTTCCCAGCAGAAGTTATCTGCAGTGGGCCAGCAGATTTATCTTTCTGGGTCTAAAAGTGCAGTTTTTATTTGAGCTAGCGATTGCGAACAAGTCCATTGTCTAATTATAAAAAAAAGAAGAAAAATAAGAATTAGTCAACGAAAATTCACGGAATCACGGTTTCACGGATTCACGGATCACGGATCACGGGAAATGCGGGCGCTTTACGAAAGAAAGAATTGACAAAAATGGGACTGTTCGCAGGACTGTTTAAATAATTTTTATTTTATTTTGTATAATATGTTTTCTTTTCTTTCTGAAATGGTTAAATATTTGACTCATACAGAGGTTAAATATATCACTCACACGGCTAATATATTTTGCGCAAAATAAAAAAAAACACTCACACAGCACAATTGTTCGTTGGTGACTCCATAACGATCGATCGAATTGTAGAAGGGGGAGGGGTAGAATTTTGAAAACCCATCAAAAGTTGAGGAGAGAAAAAAATATTCCAGAATTCTAAAAAAATCTCGCCGGGACCTCCATGTCAAGTCTAGGGGTGTACGGGCCCTAGCTTGATGAGTGTAGCGGTACAGGTAGGTATTATATATATTCATTATTTACATGTTATATTACAATAAGGGGGAAAGGGGGGAGAGACTGCAGAAGCAGCCTTACGGTGCACGGTCGTCGGGGGTCACTAATCCTGACTGGCCTCCGTGGCCAGCCCCCGGGAGAGCAGCTGTTTGAGCTGAGCTGAGCTGCGTCCCGACAGTCGTATTGTCCGAAATGTTAGGCTTTTTGGAAGAAATTTAACACATGTCTCCGAAAATTTCCCTTATCGAAGGCGCTGATTACCAAAATATGGTTTATTTCAGTTTTTGGCGGCATGCGGTAAGGTTACGGTAGTCATTCTGTGCGAGCCCACATCATGGATTTTCAGGGAAAATTGTGTTTTGGGGTTATTTCACGTGCTGATCACGATAATAACGTCCACTTTGTTCACTACTTTCCCGCAGTGGGACTACGGTAGCGGTACGGGAGATTCTCGTAAAAATCAAGAAATTCTCGTAAAAATCAAGAAATTGATGTAAGAAGGCGGTATTAGAACTTGAGACTATCATTTTCGTAATCAGCATGCTAAAAAACCTATATATGTAAGGTTTGAGCTTCCTGGAATGAACAATGCGAAAAATCAATAAAATCTATAATTTTTGAGGGGCTAACATCAGTCTCATGCCCTCCCTGTATTTCTCGTGCATGTAAACGAATTTGCAAAATTAGCACCACTCTGCGAAAAATTTGAGCTAAAGTCTGTGCCCTACCTCTATCTACGGTATACCTACCGTAACATTATATTACAGTATGGCGAACCCGGACCACTCTGGATGGAGCTTCGCCAAGGTGTCCCCAATCATGTGGCAGAACCCGGTAGAATTCCATCGCATAATGGTAAATCTAGAGCTTCAGGAATTTTACGACTCACCGGTGGATCGTATTGCCGTAAATGTTTTAAATGGAAAAGGTACGACCGTTCCACCCACTTGATCCTCACCTCTGATTTTATTGCATCTTAACACGTTTCGGACCGCAAATCGCGCGCGGCGAAAAAGAGTGCGCTTTCGGCCGTTAGCCAGCAAACGAACCTTATTTCGCAGATTGTGGACTACATCTGTAAACAGTATGCCAGATAAGCTCCATATCCAAACTTCTGGGTGAATTCGAAGCGTTTGAATTTTGTCGCTTGAGAGGGACTTTTGTGCTTTCTTGAAAGATAGGAGCAAGAACTCAGTTTCAAATAGTATCTAAAAGTATCTATGTTGTACACTGTACTCGTCACTATTGAAACTACGGTTTATCTCTTATCTCTCTCACGCGTCGTTCGCGTTGCCGCACTTCGTTGCAACTGTTGTTCGATTTGTCCTTATATCTCGTAAACAAATATCGGCGGCACAGCTCTACAGAGTCATTTGAAATGTAAGAGCTTAGACCTTTGACTCAATAACTTCGTACTCAAAGAAATCCTCCTACAAACATCAGAAATAACCTTCAAAGCAGCGTGCTGCACCATGTGCAGCACCGGTCCGAAACGTGTTAAGAGAAGCTTGGATTATCATGAATCTAGAGCGAAATTCATGCGCCAGCACCCCCGGAACCCATCCGAACCCGCCTGGATCGGGACTTGCCAAATGAGAGAAGTGAAGGAGATACCGACAAGGAGGAGTTCCCAGGTCAGCTCGGCCAACTCGGATAAGTCATATATCACCGTAATGAGCTTGGCACGCTGATTCCAAATCTGCTTTCCTTTTCTGCGGAACAACTCTCCAAAAGAAGTTATGAGCGTTTAAAAGTCCAAATTTGCCGAGTCTTAAGTGGCATAAAATTGGCGAAAGCTGTACAATAACACGTGAAAGTGAGTTATCACTTTGTAACGACTATACTGACTACAACGGAACACAGCCAGTGGAAGTCCGCCAGGTATTGTTTTAGAGCTTCTAGCTAATTTTAAGCCACTTCAAACATGACAAATTTGGACTTTCAATAGCTCATAACTTCTTTCGGAGAGTTGTTCCACAGAAAAGTAGGGCACATTTGGAATCAGCGTTTCAGTCCGTTAAGGTGATATAATGACCCCTACAGTTTGGCCGAGCTGACTTGGGAACTCTTCCTTGTGAGATACTTAGATGGCCCGCTTCACGTGACGTGCGGGCCCCAGTACAAAAGATTCACCGATCCTCTCGCCTCAGACATCCTCGATTCTCTTGTTTATCGTCGGTGGCGCTCCAAGAATTCCAGGGGCAGAAATCGTTCCAGTTGATTTCTCCTGGTCCATCTGCTCCACGAACACTACGTACTGCAAAGTCCTACGAGATTTGTTTGTGTTGGGTCATCTTTAGAAGATGGCGTTCAAGCGCTGTGTGGGTGGTCCTCAGAGCTTTCGACTGGCTGCAGTGTGGGCCCAAGTCTCAGCTGCGTAATAACAGTGCCCTGGTACGAGTTAAGTCGAACAGGTAGGCACGAAGCTCTGGGTTCGTCAGTTGAACAGTAGCTTTCTTTAGAGGGTCAGGACCAGTTTGCTCTCCTTCTCCTATT